AGATTTTTTGTTCTGATGATGCCTTACACCTGATCCCTTCGACACCTCGTGGTTGCATAGGCTGGTGTGCTTCTTCCATGGGGGCTTTGTTGCTTAGATAGGGTTTGAGACTTGTCATATAGTCTCAAAGCACTGTGCTACCCAGGGATTTGAACTATACTAATGATGGAGACTGATGGTTCCTATGCCTTTACAGGAACTTAGTCCCTGTAAAAACACACCTGGCTGCCCGTTTGCCCATTATTGCTATGCAGGGATCCTGTTGTAACTTCCATGTGGTCATTTGAAACCCATTCTCCATTCTACCTATTTTTGCAGCATAAAGCCTCCTGCCTGTCATGCCTTATGTGACAGTTTGTAAGTTTGTGGTCACGCCCTCAAACATTGCTTTTCTGGGTTTGCTCATAACAGTCCCTTCTTGACAGTCCACTCTGATGTCTGTGCATGCTGTATAACCTCTGTATTGCTTTCCATTAAAAAAATTAAAAACGAGAGCGTATTGCTTTCTATGTTACATTGTTGTTGCTGTTGTTAGGGGCCATCAAGTTGATTCCTACTCATAGCATGACTCTGTAAAACAGAACGAAACATTTCCTGGTAGTGTTGTCATGTTTGAGCCCATTGTGGGAGCCACATTCTTCTCAATGTTATTCATAGTTTGTTATGATCTACCCAGTGAAATGTTTTCTTCAGAGTCAATAAATCACAAATAAACATATCCCTCATCTCATGACCTCTTCCGAATACGTTTTGAGTTCCTGTTGTTCCTTGTTGATGTGCAGCTACAACTGTTTAAAAATTATTTTCAGCAACATTTTACTTGCATGAAATATCAATCATATTGTTAGATAACGTCCACACTTTTCTTTCAGAGGGTATAAGTAGGAATCTCTTTCAGATGGGTAGTCGTATAGCTGTCTCCCAGATTTCTTGGCACAGACAAGTGAGTGTTTCCAGTGCTTCGTCAGCTTGTTGAATCACTTCACTTGGGAATAGCAAAAACAAGGTTCCAGAAATTGACAAAATACCAGTTGAAATGTGTGAATATCAACGAGGTCTTTTTGATATAGTAATTGTGTATTCCTTTCATTATTGCTTGGTAGTTCCTGCATCATTCAGTATTTTGCCCATGGAATCTTTCCATATTGTAACTGGAGATTAAATATTTTCTACAATTCTTGCTTTAGCTTTCAGTGCCAAATCTCTGCACATTTCATTATAAAACTTACTTTGTATCCTTGACCTACCCTTTAATTTTTTTCTGTTCAACTCCTTTACTTCATCATTCAACTTTGAAGAGCAAGTTTCAGAGGTCTCTTCTGATATTTACTTTGGTCTTTTCTTTCTTCCCCGTGTTATTAGTGAACTTTTTACTTTCTTCATGTATGATGTTCTTGATGTTACCCCATAGCATTTCAGATCATCTGTTATTAGTGTTTAATGTATTAAATTGTTTATTGAGATAGACTTTAAGTTCAAGTAGGAATTTGGACCCCATGTACTTGTTTTAATTTTCTTCTTCAACCCGAACTTGCACATAGTTTATTTTAAGGCAGTCCTGGCCTTGTTTGGTTGATGACATTGACCTTCTTCGTTTTCTCTTCCCACAAACGTAGTCACTTTGATTCCTGTATATTCCATTTGGTGAAGTGTAAGTATGTAGTGACTGTTTATGTTGTTGAAAAAGATATTTACAACAAAGAAGTAGTTGGTCTTGCAGAATTCTATCATGTGAACTCCAGCTTCATTTCTATCACCAAGGCTCTATTTGCCAACTACTGTTTCTTCCTTTGTGCTTCTAACATTCACATTCCAGTTGCCAATTATGCATCTTGATTGCATGTTTGATCAATTTCAGACTAAAGAAGTTGGTGGAATTTCTTTATCACTAGCTTTAGTGATTTGTGCACACATTTGAATAGTTTTATTAAACTGAACTTCCCTGTAGGGTTATAAATATTATCTGGTTATAGACAGCATTGTTACTTTAAGATAGATCTTGAAATACTCCTTTTGATGATGATTACAGTGTCATTCTTCATGAATTTGGCATGCCCAGCATAGTTAACCATATGATTGTCTGACTCCAGATGGTTGATACCAATCCATTTCAGCCCTCATAATGATCTTTATGTTCTATTTAATTTTTGACGATTTCCAATTTTCCTAGATCTATAATTCAAAATTTTAAATTCCAATTATGAATGGCCCTTTTCACCTGTTTCTTTTCATTTTGAGGCCTGCCTCATTAGCAAATGAAAATTCTAAAATCTCTGTTCTAACTACATCATTAAGATCAACTCTACTTTGAGGTAGCAGCTCTTCACCAGTCTTAATTTGAGTGCCTTTCAACCTGAGGGAGGACTCATCTTCCAGCACCACAGGCTTTCCAAAACCTTGATTTTCACAGAAGCAGACTCAGATTTTCCTCTCAGAGCAGTTAGTGGGTGCAAACCAACATCTTTCTGCTTTGCATTCAAGCACTAAACTGCGGTGCTTGTATTCTATTTGTGTAATAAAATTATTTTGAACAGTAGCCCCAAAACTTGATATTTAATTTTGAATTTTATGTGTAATATATTCATTGACTCATGCTTATAGTGCTAGGTTGTTTGTTTTTGGGGGTGCACGATAGATACTAGATGGATATTCTTTAAAACACAAAGTCACACTTTGTTTTATATGGACTGTTTCACTCAACCTAATACTGAGACATTATTCACTAATTCAGCCATTATGTATTTAGTTTCAGTAATTACCGTATATACTCCTGTATAAGCTGAGTTTTTCAGCACTAATTTTTTTAATCATTTTACTGGGGCTCATACAACTCTTATCACAATCCATACATATATCAATTGTATAAACCACATTTGTACATTCGTTACCCTCATCATTCTCCGAACATTTGCTTTCCACGTAAGTGCCTGGCATCAGCTCCTCATTTGTCCCTCTCCCTCCCCGCACCCGTCCATCTCATGAACCCTTGATCACTCATAAATTATTATTTTGTCATATCTTACACGGTCTGACGTCTCTTTTCACCCACTTTTCTGTTGTCCACCCCCCAGGGAGGAGGTTATATGTAGATCCCTGTAATAGTTTCCCCCTCTCTACCACTATTTTTTTCCCCAGCACATTTTTAATGTAGTTTTTGTGGTAAAATTAGGTGCCTTGGCTGATATTTGGGTCAACTTATACTCGAGTATATATGATATCCACTATGTCCTTGGCATTGGCTTACTGAATAACACAGAAACAGTTCTTGCCTCCATCAAATAGTTGATAGAACATTGCCTAGGAAGGGAGGCACCAAATAAGGAAATATAAGTGTGTGCTATTTTTGAAAATGTTTAATACAAGTGTCTATGAGGACATATAAAAGAGGGATTTCAGGACTCACCCTTTCGTAAGAGATTTAAATTATGTCCACAGTGTTAATGCTTGAATTTTGTGGGAAATTCAATGCAAGGGTTATACTAAGAAACTAGTATTATTTGTTTATCTGTTATTTTTAGTGACACATGAAGTATATTCTTTGTAATTTTTTATACTTTCACATATATGTCTTTTACTTGATGCTTATCATGTTATTTGTATAATTTCATTAGAATTGTTTATATTGTATCATATAGAAGTCTCTTTATTACATAAACCTAGGTTCCAATTTTCTATTACTATCTCTTCTAAAAAATTATTTTGACCTCCTAGTATCTAGCTGAGTCTGAATCTTGTTATGATAAGTACTTACTAATTATTTGTTGTATAAATAACATTTGTGTGTAGAACTAAGCCCCCTTAAATGCTTTGAATCTTAGAAATTCTAAAGAACCACTCAAAGATCAAAGTGGGTATTAGCATATGCTTAAAGAGTATGGCCTAGTCATTTCTCTAAAATTACTCTTGAGGTTCATTGCTTTGGCGCCAATGAAAGGGAGGCTGTGAACTAAATATCATTGGCATTTTGGTAGGTATGTGTTTATTTGGCAATACTGTAGTAAGTTAAGAAGAGCCCTAGTGACTTTAATGACTAAGTCTTCATATTTTACAAGCTCTAATTTATATTTGTACCTAAGTGAATTTATCTAAAATTGCCATTTCAAATTGGACTCTATATCTTCATTAAATCTTTTTTGTGTATTTTTTTTATCTTATAAAAGCAGGATTGCTTCACAGTGGAGGGAGAAGATTTGAGGCATGACTTTGAACGCTTACAACTAGCCATGGAAATGGTAGGATTTCTTCCCAAGACTCGAAGACAGTGAGTTTATTTATTGAATTCTTTAACTCTCCGTAGAGAACAAATCATGATGTGTATTTGAAAGAGTCTAGAAACTTACACAAGTTATTTTATTTGTGTTTGATAAAACATTTATGTGATAACTGTTAAAACAATATGATTGGCAAACATACTACAGATAGATTTTAAAGAGCGACTTGTATTTTCATGTGTTTTTGCTTTTAGTAGTTTCTCAAATGTTTCAGTTGTTAGCAAGTTTATTCTCTAATTTCCTTTAAAATCACTTCTAATGCAGAATATTTTATTCAATTATTCTTGTGTAATTGACTTACATATTGTTTTAGTCATGTGAATGCTAATAATTTGAATTATTTGAAATATTAGTTGCGTCAAGGTGTCTGAAAGTTTATCAGATTATTTTTTTCTTTTCTTTTTTTAGTTTATCAGATTCTTAAAGCATTACTTTTAGGATGATACATAGTTAAATTCTCTTAAGCAGACCAAATTTATCCTAAGAAAGTAACAGGACATGGAGATAGAGATGTGTATATATATATTTATAAGGATCTTCAGGAAAGGCTTTTAGTAGGCAGTTTATCATGTTAAATGCTCCTGAGATATTAGATAAGGGCAAGACCCATTTTCTTAACTATGTGAGTGTTCTTGGTAACCTCTTAAGAGACCCTTTAGTGAGGAGAATGCAATAGTGAATAGGGAGGGGTGAGAAAGTGAAACCTAGGAATATAAATTAACATTTAAGAAACTTGATTGTGAAAGGAAAGAGAAGCTGTAAAATCTAATGTAGGTTGATATAAGACATGATATAAGAGAAATATTTATGAGGCTAGCTTAATAGAAAGCTCTTGTAGGAGTACTCCCTCAATGCAAGGATACTTTCTTCTATTAAACTGGCATTCTGTGATGCTCACCTTCCCAGTACAACCACTGAAGACAACGCAGGTGAATAAGCAAATGTGGCGAAGAAAGCTGATGGTCCCTGGCTATCAAAAGATACAGCAACTGGGGTCTTAAAAGCTTGAAGGTAAACAAGCGGCCATCTAGCTCAGAAGCAACAACACCCACATGGAAGAAGCACACTAGCCTAGCCAGTGTGATCATCAGGTGCCGAAGGGATCAGTTATCAGGCATCAAAGAACAAAAAATCGTATCATGTGTGCTCACCTCCCTGATATGATCACTGAAGACAAATGGGTGCATAAGCAAATGTGGCGAAGAAAGCTGATGGTGCCCGGCTATCAAAAGAGATAGTGTCTGGGGTCTTAAAGGTTTGAAGGTAAACAAGCGGCCATCTAGCTCAGAAGCAACAAAGCCCACATTGAAGAAAGTACCACAGGCTGCCAAAAGAACAAACAAATCTGTTTGGAAAGAAGAATAGCCAGAATGCTTTTTAGTAGCAAGGACGGAAAGACTTTGTCTCATGTAGTGTGGACATGTTGTCAGGAGAGACCCTGGAAAATGATATCATGCTTGCTAAAGTAGATGGGCAGTGAAAAAGCAGACCCTCCACAAATGGAATGACGAAGTGGCTACAAAAACGAGTTTAAACATAGGAACAATTGAGAGGATTGTATGGATTTGGGCAATGTTTCCTTCTGTTGCATTTAGGTCAGAATTGACTCGATGGCACCTGCAAGAACACCTGCAAGTCGGAGATTCATAACCTGGGGACTTCTTGTATTCCACAGTGGTTTAGATTTTAAAGTGTTTATTAAGGACCCCATACAATTATATGGGAAAACATCTCAAATATAACCAAATAATTACCTAGATATTTGATTAAAAATGTTATAAAAATGTAGGCTCCCAGGCTGATTCTTTGGAGATTCTGATTTATAGACTGAAATCGTGCTTGGGAAAAGGCATTCCAGACAGGCTGAAAACATTTAGAGTGGCACTAAATATAGAAACAGTACAGCAAATTCAAGTATTAGGAATAACTCCTTTTGAAACAACTACAAGACACGTGATAGAGTTGTGCAAGTAAGATGATGTCCAGCACAGTGCCTTACATAATTAAACAATACCTCTGAAACTAAGTACTTATCGTATTTCTCTAAAAGTCAAATACTTCATATTTGTACTGGTGAATTTGCTCGAGTAGAACTTGAGAACACACACACACTGTAATTCACGATTTTTATTTTATTTTTTGATTTCCGCAGAATTTTCTCCCTTCTCTCAGCAATACTACATTTGGGCAATATCTGTTATAAAAAGAAAACATACCGGGATGACTCCATAGATATCTGTAATCCTGAAGTACTTCCTATTGTCTCAGAATTATTAGAAGTAAGTATGAGTGTTTCATAGATGTAAGTGATTTAATGCTCTTTATTGATAGTGTTTCTCCAGAAGATGGAATTTTTCTTATTATCTGCATTACTTTACTATTGAGTATGTTCACCATTTTAGAAAACTGGGTTTTCTTTCTTGCCTTTCCTTGCCTCAGGAATTCATTATCCCTCAATCTGCTGGATAACGAGTTCTTCTACTCTGGAGTCTAATATGGTGGGCCTATGCTAATTTTTCTCATCCTTGTTTTGAGATTTTGTCCCATAATAAGATTGTGGTTATTTTATTTGATGCTACATATTTAGATTCATATTCTTGGCCCAAATTAGGATTTAAAGGTCTTTATCTCCTACTATGCTTCTTCCTACACCAAGATGTTTATTACTCTTGTCTTCTTGTAGTAATAATTTCCTAGCTAACTTCACTTCTTGCCCAGTTCATCGTAATAGGCTTGTTTCTCACTAGCCTTCTTAGCTAACAGAACAAGGTGATATGAAAGGGCTTCAAAAAGTTTCTGAGAAGTTTCTGTTAGCTTTTAATTCTATTTTTTTCATGAACTTAAAAATTCTGAAAGTTTTATTGGTATATATTTAACATATCATACATTTCAATACCTCAGAACAGTTACTTCTTATTGTCATCAGTCCCCCACCTTCCTGCAACCTTCCCCGCCAGCCATACCCCTCAAGAGACCATAAATGCAGTCACTGTTTCCATAGTTATACCCACCCTGGATTTCATATACAGAGAAACACAGACAACAAAATCCAGGAAAATGAAACAAAAAAACTGTACTCTGCATGAGAGTAAGGCTAGTCACATCCTTGTCTCTGGTCAGAGGGGATTCACCGGAAGCTTAATCCTTCCATGTGTGTTCCCCTTGATGGATTTTAGGCTTCCTCTGGCATCCATAGCCTTCTGAAGAAGACCAGTTGTTCACAATTTAAGCTCTGATACCATCCCTTCCTTCAGGTTTGGATTTTATCATTCACAGTCCTCAGATCACACAGGCTGGTGTGTTTTTTTTTTTTCTGTGTAGGACCAGTTGACACCTCAATTAGATGGCTGCCCGTTTGAAGATAAACCTTTAAGACCCCAGGTGCTATTCCTTCTAATTATCCGGGCACCAACTAGTTTCTTCACCACACGCTGCTATAACACTCATATCTTCAGTGATCTCTTTGTGAGGGCAGGCATCAAGCAGGGCCCTGTGACAAGAGCTAATTGTTCTCATATTAGTGCTAGAATTAAGTATGAGTCCAAAACCCATTCATAAATCTACCATTTGTATATGTCTCTGGTTCACTTTAGAGACATCATTATCATTTTATGTTAGAGGACATTATAAGGTAATTCTGCTGATGGTGTCATTAATTTAGCCAGTAGTGTAGAATTTAAAATACTGTTGAAAAAAAGACATTTAACTATAGGCTGCCTATGAACCCCATACATGAATTGTTGACTTGAACAGATTAAACCCTTAAGCTACCGGACACTATTTACACAAACAGTGGGAATAACATTCATTCACAATAGCAGAACCAAGCCTACCAGATTAATGCATGTCATAATAAAACAAGGAGAATGTTAAAATAGTAGATACATGATAGTCTTGGGCCACCATTGATTGGGCACCCTCTAGGAAAGTTTTCCACACCAAAGTCCAATGATCTCCACTTATGTAACCTTGGGATAGCAGTCATCTGGTTCTGAAACAATAGGGAGTTTCAGCCTTGAGACCAAGGGCTACTGGTGAGTTTGAGGTAAAGCCCAGTTCATTTAGTGGGGTTTCCACATGAAGTCCTTCTGGTGTGGCCAATGGAGGAGGATGTGGGTCTCATAAAAACAGAGTCCAAGGTCCCAATAGTATATAGAACATGGCCTAGGTTGTCAAGGGCTGGATAGCACCTAGGTCAAAAGTGCCCAAGTAGAAACATAGTAACAGTCATATTCTTGATGGGCAGTTGCTCCTCCCTGTTTAGCCACGAACCAAAATGCAAATAGTCTTATCTGAGTTCTGTGTGCGGGGACACACACACACACCACTACCACCACCACCATCACCCCCACCCCACCCCTATCCAGACTTGAATTCCCAACAAGTTTCACTTACCACTCTTGTAAGAGTGCCTGTTGATTTGGGGTGACCTCAGTACAATGGCAGCAACTGACTTCCCCAAATCCTATAAAAGTGCTCCGAGCTGAGGTGAGGTGCCCTCTGTTGGAGTGGTTATAAAGGTACAAATACAGATATAGGGTATGCTACATGGTTCTTGCATGAAAGGCAGGCTCTCCACCTTGTTTGGGAGATGGAATTAGAAGAGTGCATGACCTGAGAGTGGAAAGCTGTCTTTTGTCTTGGCTTTTGTTCTTACAGTAGTGGACTCATACAACATTTGTGCTTCTGTGGTTGACTCATTTCACTTAGCATAATTGTTTCTAGCTCCTTCCATGTCATGAGTGGATTTGTGGTTTCAGTGTCAATTTTTATTTCCATGAACTTTTTGAAGCTCTTTCGTATAGGTGTATAAACTAAACAGCATCTATTTTTTTAATTAAAAGATCATTTTATTGGAGACTTTTACAACCCTTGTTATAATCCATACATAGATTGCATCAGGCATGTTTGTACATATGTTGCCTTCATTCTTTTCTAGACATTCACTTTTTTAAAAAAAATCATTTTATTAGGGGCTCATACAACTCTTATCACAATCCATACATACATCAATTGTGTAAAGCACATTTGTACATTCATTGTCCTCATCATTCTCAAAACATTTCCTCTCCACTTAAGCCCCCGGCATTAGGTCCTCATTTTTCCCCTCCCTCCCCGCTCTTCACTCCCTCATGAGCCCTTAAATTATTATTTTGTCATATCTTGCCCTGTCGGACATCTCCCTTCACCCACTTTGCTGTTGTCCGTCCCCCAGGGAGGAGGTCACATATAGTTCCTTGTAATCGGTTCCCTCTTTCCAACCCACTCTCCCTCTACCCTCCCAGTATCGCCACTCACATCACTGGTCTGTTGAGCACTTGGTATCTGCTCCTTTTTCCCTCCCCCCCCACGCCCCCTTGATAGATTATAAATTATTATTATTTTCATATCTTACACTGACCACTGTCTTCCTACCCCCATGTTTTCTCTTATTCTCCCGCCTGTAGAGGGGTGTATGATTATGTGTCAATCATTGCGATTGGTTTCCCCTTTCTCCCTTCCTCTCCCCTGCCTTTCTCCCTACCCTTCTGGTATCGTTATTCCCACTCCTGTTCTTGGATTTTGTGTGTCTTGAGCCCCCATCTCTATATCTGTGTACATGCTCCGGTCTAGTCTGAATTGAGAAACAGCACTGGGGTCATGATAGTGGGGGGTGAGGAAGCCTCAAGGAACCAGAGGAATATTGTGTGTTTATTTGATGCATTACTGTACCCTGGTTGACTCATCCTTTCCCTGTGGCCCCTCTGTGGGGGGATTGAGCATCTATTTTTTTATATAATTTTCTATATGCTATGCTGTTGCCCCTAACCAATCCATTAACATAGGGATCACTCTAACCTTTCCCCTTTACTTATTGCTAAATTCCCCTTCCATCTGTGAGTAAACTGACTCCCACTGCCTGTCATCCCTATACTGAATTGTTGGATTCGAGTGTATATGTATCAGAATTTTTAACCCATACCCCAGTCGGAAGTTACTGTATGAATTAGAGTATAGTGCTTATGTGTAGTTCTTTTTGCCTCAATTTTTCAGACATCGCTCATTTCCAAAATTACATAGGTCAACACCTTTTCTCCTCAATCCTCCTCTTAGAGTTTATATTACTTTCCTGGAATCTCTGATCTCCTAATTGATTAAAAAACCCATACATTAAGGTTCACTCATTCTCTTGTACCATTCTGAGTTTTGGCAAATGTTTGATGTCATATAATCACTGTTATAGTATCATACCGAATAGTTTTACTGCCCTAATAATTCCCTGTGTACCACCTATTCACTTCTTCCCTGCTAGCCCCTGGGAACTGCTGATCTTTATATCTGGTGATTTTCCCTTTTCCATATATGTAACTATACAGTATAGATTTTTCACGCTCACTTCTTTCATGTAGCAATGTAGTTTAAAGATTTACCTATTTTTTTCAAGAACTTGAAAGGGCATTCCTTTTATTATGTGTAAGTAAACCATTTGTTGAGTGTACCATAGTTTGAGTATTCATCTGTGGAAGGACATCTTGGTTACTCTACGGCAATTATGAATAGCCTGCTTTTTCTTTTAAAATATTATTTACCCTTCAAATCTTGGTTTATATGTCACGTCAGTGTTTTAAACCCCCTCCCAAGCATACAGCTTTTGTTTCTACTAAAGCATAATTTAGTTTTGGTTTTGCCATATAAAGTTAATTGTTTACTAGTTTGTGTCCATTACAAGTCTGCAGTGCTCTTTGAGAGCAATGACCGCCCGTTTTATTTAACTTTACAGTGTTGTGTTTTGCTTTTCCCCCCTATGTACATGACTGAGCATTGCTTATTAAATAACTTTAATGGAATGAGTAAGCCTGGTTGAAGGACCAAGAAAAGGGCGCCCCGTGAATTGGAAGTAGACTTACTCATTGGAAAGAAGTTGTACCAGGAAACAGAGTGTGGTAGCTGAGGGTTGTGATTTGAAGGTCATAAGGATCAGAGAGCAGGTGGTATTTCAGTCGGCATTTCAGGTGCTGTTTTAGTCAAGCATTTAGTATTGTGGTAAAAGAAGGCACTGAGGATAGTGGTTTTACTTGTAAGCCCAGACACCCAAAAAGTGACAAGGTTTCTCGTCCTAGTGCAGCATTCCTTCTCTGGTGGCAGCCTGGTAAGAAGAACATCATATAAGCAAAAGAGGAACTTAGGTATTACTTTCGGGAAGAAGAAAAAATCCAGTTCTGAGAATTAGACTCTGTATTTGTGGTCCTACCAGTGGTAAAGTGTGACTAACAACAAATACGATTTGAAAGAAAATCTCACTTTTGAAGTGAAGCCTGAAGTTAATTAGACTAGTTCTAGAAACTGATTTTTAGTATTAAGTAGAAAGAAGATAACTTGTAAGTTCAGAAACTAGAGATAATCTGATAGGATCGACTATGTTATACTACCCATAGCTAATTATTAGGAACTGTTTAAATATGTAATTTCCATTAATTATTCAAGGTGGATAATAATAGTTGCAATTTTAAGAAAGATAAAATTAAAAAGGATAGGTATAATAAAAAGTTTAATTAAAATTTAAATGTTTTCATAAAGGATTTCATTTAATTTTCCTTCTCTTTATTCCCAAGTGATTCAGTTCCATGATAAAATGTAGATTTAGATTTTAGACCATAAATATTGTGTTGTTTGAATTTTCTGTATTTTACCTTACTGGGCTCATATTAGCAATGGCTACACAGAACACAGAACAATATTCACGATTAAAGGGTTTATTAAGGAAGTTGACAAATTGTAATCCCAGTTAGAAATGCTCAGGGTAGGGTTGTTTATTAAGACATATTATAAATTTGTTTCAAGACTGCTAACCAATGCCCAAAGAGGCATACCACTCTGCTGCATGCCTTAAAGATACTCAGCTCTGTGGGTCAGCAAACCCAGCTTCCCCAAGTAAATGCCCAGAGGCGTCCACTGCACACGCCAGCCTCCTTCACAAAAGCACTCAGCTTTACTTTCTCCGTGGGCTGGGAAGTCCATCACTCAGTTCCGTGGTCTGGCTCCTGGTTCTGTTGCTGCTCCTTGATATTCTAGCTATCCTTTGGATTTAGAAGGTTCACTGCACAGGGATCTTGACTCCAGAAGACATGCTCCACTCCTGGCTCTTGCTGGTTGTTAGGATTTCTCCCCCTGCTTCTCAGAGGGCTCATTTTATTTATTCATTTTACATTTTATTGGGCACTCTTACAAATATAACAATCCAAAGTTCAATTAGATCAAGTAAGCTTTGCCCTGTGGTAATATGAGGTCTCTCCGAGGCGCTGTTATTGCTAATTGAAAACTTTTCCCAATTAGATCAAGCATACTTGTACAATTGCTGCCACTGTCATTTACAAAACATTTTCTTCCTGAACTCTTTGATATCACCTCCCACTTTATCCTCTCCCCCTCCCCAGGAATCCTTGTTATTATATATTATTTATTATTAATTATTTATGGCCATATCTTACACCATCCAGTGTATCCTTTCACCTACAAATCTGTTATTCATTGTCCTCGAGTGGGGTTATATAATCATCGTTGCTATCAGTTCCTTCTTCCTCCCTTCCCCTCTCTCCTTCCTTATACTCAGGGAATCGTTACTCCAGTTACTGTCTTGTATTTCATGCATCGAATGATCTTAATTATACACATGAACATACACATGTCTGACAAAATTAATGAAGTTAAACTAAGACCACAATACTAAGGGGAGGAAATATTAAAGAACTAGAGGATAGTTATGTGTTGCATCAGTGCTATACTGCGCTCTAGATTTATCTTCCCTTCTGTGTGGCCCTTCTGTGAGGGACTGTCCAGTTGTCTTACAGATGGGTTTGGGAAGGCCTCATTTTAAATACGGCAGGATGGCATTCCAGGGAATCCTGTTCACAATTACAGGTGAATTCTATTAGTGTCTTCCCTCACCTTCTTACCAAACCAAAATGGTTGTTTGGTGGGAGTTAGAGACTTGACTATGAGAGCCACATTCAATAGTGCACTGCCCTGTAAGTGTTTTTAAAATAATAGCTTTATTTTATGTATTTTATTCCCCCATTATTTTCTTATAGCATCCTCAGTTAAAAGTGACTGTTTGTGTTTTGTTTACTTAAAGTCTTTTGGGACAGATACTGCTAAAATTATTCAAAGTTCTAATAAAGATTGATTATGGAGGTATCTTAGTATTGAGATATTAGAACCACTTCCACCACCAAAAATCATTGCTTTACTAAAAGCATAGTTCATTGGTTTTTGGAAAAATTATGAATCGCAATTGTATTTTCAATTAATAAAGATTTTTAAAATTAAAATAAGTCATACATGTATAGAAAAGAATATCTGGAAAGTTGATTGTTTTTGCCCCCTTTCATTTTATGACTCACAATTCCCTTTGCTGTTATATTTTTATATTGTAATTTTACTTTCTGCATAAAATTTTATGAAAGTTTTATATTTATGAGGCATAGATACTATTATAAAATACTCCAGTTTTGCCATTTCATGTCCTCCCATCAGGGTGCTATAAAATTCAAAGTAGAATATGTGAAGACTATTACTGTAGTCTTTGGAAAATACCTACTATAAAACCATTAGTTTTTATTACTATGAAGCTATACTATTACGTTAGTCAGTTTCAATGAATAATGGTAATATTCTTGCTCCATTTGAAATTCTCAGACGTTTCCTAATGGCCTAAGAACTCACGGTTTGGATGCTCTGACCAACTAACTTCCAGTTACCTTTTTTTTTTTTTTTCAGATTTTGTTAAGATATTTACGCTTTTTTTTGACAGGTCACTTCCATCCAAAGATAGCACATGTACTAGAACCCTATGATCACTCTATCACAAAACTCTCTGTAATAAAGCTGGTTAGAAATTGAAAAACAAAAACAAAAACACAGTCAAGGTTTGAGAAAGTAGTAGCTCTCAGTACTGCTGCGGAGAGCCCAGCGTGGGAAGACTCACATACAGGAGTTTGGCAGTAGCCTAGAAAATGAAAGAATTGCATCCTGCCTTATGGCTATTCTGCTTTTAAGGACGGACAGCTGAGAAATTCTTTAACTCATATGCAAGAATATTCATTTTAGTTTATCTTTTAATCTTGCAAATTTGTAATCTGGGTAAATATCCCCAAGTAGAGGAATGAATTAGTCAATTCCTACTCATAGTCTATAGAGTGTCTGCAGCTGCACATTTTCACAGGAGCAGAAGTCTCATCTTTCTCTGTGGAGCAGCTCGTGGGATTCAAACTGCTGACCTGTGGTTAACAACCCAATATGGAATCCATTATACCACCAAGGATTTTAAAAAAGAGACATGGACAATATGATGCCATTTGAAATCATTAGCATGTCAAATTCATGATACAATATTTACCTCCGGGGGGAGAGTGAGAACCAAGGAAATAGCAGCTTTATCCTCAAAATTTTACATTCATAACAAAAACATAAATCACTAATATTTTGTCATCAAAAAAAGTGTCGTCACTCTCTAGTCCTTGTCTCTAGGCTGTGAAATTATGCTTGAACTTTTAAAAATGTTTTTTTCCCATGATTAGAAAACAAACTTTACTCTTTAATAAAAAACCCATTTTATTCTTTTACCTTCATATTTTGGGGGGAAGTTTGAGACCCTTAAATGTTACTTCTGCAAATATTAAAATCACTGGTACATTTTCATTTTTCTCTATTGTACATTTGCTAATCTCATTAAGATTTCTTTCTTGACTTAATTATTTCCTTCAATAAAGTCATTGAACTTACTGTCCTAATTCTTGCATAATGAATTTATTTTCTCACTCACAGGTTAAAGAAGAGATGCTATGTGATGCGTTAGTTACCAGGAAAACTGTGACAGTAGGAGAAAAACTGATTTTACCATACAAGCTGGCCGAGGTAAGAATAGATTTTCTTTGGAATCAAAGGACTCTGAACATTTTTACGTGTTTGAATTTGTGTTCGTTCCCTTAATAGAATGAAAATGACAACAACAGAGTGTTCACTGAAATATCTAATAGGATTTGAAACTTTGACCTTGAACTTTTTAGTGGCTTGGAAATGTAAACGTTACATGTGCTCTGATTGTGAGCAATAGACTTGCATTTTTTCTCAAAAGATCTTACTTTGTTCACAATTCTTAATTTTTATATTATTCACATGGGTGGATATATAGGTGGAATTATAAATGAGCAGTACTTTACCTAATTGATCATTCTTTCTTGAGATGATTTCTTAGACTCCAGGTAATCATACTCTGTTTACATCTTTATTTTCGACCACTCCTTTGCCTTCTGTTTTGCTTGATTTTTCTTTTCTTCCTGACCTTTAAACCACAGGGTGTCCTAGGACAGTCTTTGTCTCGTTTTTATGTTTTTTATCAAGGACCTACATTCTAGGCTATCTCACCCAGTCCCATGATTTTAAATGGCATCTGTATATGTGGCTCCCAGGTGAGACTTACTGTTACAATGTGTAGCTGTTACTTTCACTATGATTGTGCTTTGATGTGTCTAGGGGAGGAAATTATCGAAGAGCAATCCTTTTTTTAGGTAATTGTATGAAAGTGATGATAACGCAAACTGGCAATTATTATAAAAATTGGACAGAATGTAGGGTTAGGAGATACAGAGGTTCAGGATTGTGTTTGAACTCTAGAGAATGTTCTCTAGGCTGATATTTATCCATTTATTCTACATTTGGGGCACCTCAACTCCAAGTCCTTGGTGGTTTTTTTAATTTGTTTCTGTTTTTTCATTTTGATAGTTATCTAGTGCCTTTTTAAATACTCACTCACTCTTGAATGTTCCTTTCTAAACAAGAAAAAACTTCAAGGATTTTCCTTTTTTTTTACACAACGCTCAAGAGCTTTTGTATTTTCTTTCAGAACTTATTGTTTTATATTTACATCTTAACCTTAAATTTAACTTTTGAGATTTTTCTATTATGCTTGTTCTATTTTAGTTTACATTTGTATGAGGTATCTCTTTATTTGTCCAGTAAATATTTGAAAACATTCTTTGTGCCCAGAGCTGTGTAAAGCAGTAGGAGTAAAATATGGAGCAGTGTTTAAGGACTGTTGTACTTTTTCTGAAGAGCTATGAGATTTTTTGGATTATTTTGAACAAAAAAGGATCACTTTGCTTGCAGTGTGAAGAATCTATTAGAGGAGGTTTTCTATAGCCGTTTTCATTTTCTATAGCTGTGTGACATTTTCTATAGTCGTGTGACAAATTTAGCAGCTTAACACACATAAATTTATTATCTTAAGAGTTAGCAAGGTCTTCTGCCTAGTGTCTTACCAGGCAAAAATCAAAGTGTTAAACAGGAGTGCCATAGGGGAGGTAAGTTAAAAAAGACTTGTTATGAGATAATAAAAAGCTTTTTAAACAAAATAACAAAGTATGACGCTATTGTGCCATGACCATTCTCCATGGAGGTCTATACACTTCCGAAGGTGATGTTTCCACCTCGCTAAACCTTCCCCTGTCATACCATGTCACAATGGCAGTTTTGGGATTTCAGTTGTATTCTTTTATTTGTTTTTTTGTGTGCTGGAAATAAAAAGGCAACCTAAAGGCAAGATCATGGTTGTAAGATAGCCCTTGTTACTCTTGAAGAATGATGCAGGTACAATGTTATGAAGGAAAAAAAATTTATAGGTGCAATTTTCCTTGCCATTTTATTAAAATTTCTTCCAAGTAAGTCCTGATAATTATTCTGTGTCTTTGAAGCAGTCTGTCAAGATGACTCTTTAGTAATTCCAAATGTCACTTGCCAAAACCTCCAGAGGAGATGTCTTGGATTAATCTTGTGGTTTTGGTTTGAGTAACTGTGAAGACTTTTGCTAATTTTCACATAATGAGATCCTGTTTGGTTGGGAAACTTTTGTTATTTAACTTACTAAAACACCTCTTGGATTGAGATACTCAGATAAAAAGATGGATTGGCAGGACTGCATTTCACAGAAAAGGGGCTGAAAATATATTCTACAGGGTAAATTAGTATTAGATTTGAAAAACATGAGAGTTTCAAAAAGTTCATGGGAAAATTCTGTTATGTTTTAATTTCATTTTCCATGATTTTTTTAAGGCTCATATATAGTTTATATGGATTCTAGTTGACTATGGTATTTTATTATGGTAGTAAGAGTTATAAGTAGTGATTAAGCAACTTTTAATTTTTAATTTAATCTAAAATTCTCTTGTAATTAGAAAATTCAGCCCATTTACATTATGAGCACTACTATGCATTAATTTATATTTGTTAAATTTGATCAGAATATTTTTAAACTTTATTTCCTCTTTGGAAAACTAGAATAATCATTCCACTATATGGATATTCTGTTGGTTTTCTTGATATTTTAAAAGATCTTTTGTTAATTACTTGCCTATGTATAGAATTTTGAGCATTACATTCCTTTTCCCATTAGAACTCTGGAAACATTCTCTAATTAATTTCCAGTTTTTTTATGATACAGAATTTGATACTTGATTTTTCTTTTCTTTCATACAGTGGTTTAGGTAATGCTTTTTTGGCCTGGGAATTTGAGATACTTAGCTTTTCTTGCCTTTGTGATTTAGAAACTTTACTGAATGATTTTTAGATACATAAAATATTAATTCTTGTTACACAATGAATTCCTTTTAATATGAAAACCTATGTCTTCAGCTTAGAGATTTCACAGTGTGATGTCTTTATTTCCTCTTCTTTCTTTTTCTTTTTTAACTTACAGACATGAGTTGTGTACAGAATCCAGGTCAGATAAACCCTTCAGGAACAGAAATGGGAGTAGTAATACCAGGAGGGTGGGGGAACGTAGGGGGAGAAGGGAGAAGAACCAACATTCCCGGCCCCCCCACACACACACAAACAAACACAGGGGGATGAACAACAGAAACGTGGGTGAAGGGAGACTGGTTGGTTTAAGATAAGAAAATAATAATGATTTATAATTTATGAAAGGTTCGCGAGGGTGGGAGGGTGAGGGAAGGAGGAAAAAAAGAGGAGCTGATACCAAGGGCTCAAATAGAAAGTAAATGTTTAGAAAATGATGATGGCAACATAATGTACAAATATGCTTGATACACTTGATGTATGGGTTATTATAAAAGTTGTAAGAGCCCCCAATAAAATTATCTTTAAAAAAATAAGTTCTGTAATCACAATCATTTCTACTGGTCCCTCCCCCTTCCAGTCTTCATTGTTTATTCCTGAAATCTCCTTACCCAACTTATCACCCTCCCGCTACCTCTATGTCCCCTAGAAACCCTAGCCCCAGTTATTATCACTATGCATCCTCTCTGTGTTTCACACACTGGGAAATCCAACAGCACCATTCAAAACCAAAATCGAAATAAAGTGGTAAGGATAAAATAATAATAATATAAAGATAAAAATACAAATAATGAGTAAGAAAGAAAAGACCCCATTAGTATTTAAAAAGCCAGGGAAGACATTTTTTGTCATGGAACAAGTAAGAGATTCTTGCACCTAAAACAAATTCTGGTTGGGTCTCTTCTCTTTATGTTTCCTTTTACTAATCAGACCTCCAATTATTCAGATGTTAGATATTTTGAATACATGCTTCTTATCTTTTAATTTTTCTCTACCCTCCTACTCATATGATTTACAATCCTTTGGTGACTGATGATGGTGTGCTTCTTCCATGTTGACTTAGTTGACATCTCACTTAGATGGCTGCTTGTATGATGACAAGCCTTTAAGACTTCAGATTCTATTTTTCCCCCCACAGTTTTATTGGCACAAGATCTATATATCATACACTTCAATAGTTCATTCATATCAAGAAGAATTATGCAATCATTACCCCAATCAATTTTAGAGCATTTTCTTTTTCATGGTTAGATTGCTTTTATTTTTATTATTATTTTTTTAAATCATTTTATTAGGGGCCCGTACAGCTCTTTTATCTGATAGCCGGGCACCATCTAAATTCTTCACCATATTTTGCTACAGCACCTGTGTCTTTTGTGTTCCCTTCCTGAGGGTGAGTATCAAGCAGGGCCATGATGTAACAACTAATTGTTGGAGCTAGGATTTAGTGTGAGGGCTCTGGTCTTAATGGCCTTGATGATAGATTTTTTTTCATATCCATCACAACATTTTGAAGAATCTTGTCGGTTTTTCCTGTTTTCTTGAAGTGTTAGAAAACTTATTACCACATATACTCGAGTATAAGCCACCCCGAATATCAGCCGAGGCACCTAATTTTACCACAAAAACTGCATTAAAAATGTGCTGAAAAACTCAGCCTTTACACAAGTATATATGGTATATTCACACTCAGTTGCACCATACAATTGTCTGATAATCGTTCTGCCTTTCTCCGGTCAACTTCCTTCTCAAATCTTTTACCCTCTCCCTATAACATTTTAACCTCTCATTTCCATTAGATAAATTTATTTCTCCATACATATGCACACATATAAATTAAAAATCAATAACTTTTGCAGCCTGCCACCTTATTTGGTATCTAAATCCGTTTATATGCTGTCATCTTTAAGGCAAAAAGAAGTGGTGTAAGTCAAATTTGTCTACTTGAATCACTGCTTTTGAGATCTTCATTATTGACTCTTTTCAGCGCATTATACTTGCAATTTATATAGTAAAGTAAACTTCTTGGCACTGTATCTTCCTACTTTTTTTCTTTTTCCTCCTTCCCTTCATAGCCTAACTTAGTCTCTCCTATTTCTATTTTTTCCTTTTATTGGAACACTAGTGGTGTAATGGGTATTGCTTTGGGTTGCTAACTGCAAGGTCAACAGTCGAAAACCACCAGGTTCTCTGGGGGAGAAAAATGAGGTTTTCTTTTCCTATGAACAGTTCCAGTCCCAGAAACCTAAAGGGGCAGTTCTACTCTGTCTTCTAGGCTCTTTGTGAGTCAAACTTGACTGGATAGGATGGCAGTGAGTTTGAATTGGTTTTCCTTTTATGCTGTCTACCTCTCTGCCCCCACATTTTACTTAATTTGAAGCTCAGTTCATGTTTCTCTATTATGAGTTCATACAAACATCAACTCTGAAGGGTCTGAGAGTTTACCATATGTAAACACAAGGAAGCTATCCCACTACAGTTTCATGGACTATAGCAGAAGATAGGTGGTTCTTAGGACAGAGACAGAAGACTTCATTGTTGATGGCATAGTAGACAGCTTGAACTTGATGCTCATCTCATTTCACCTCAGCCCCCAAGTCCAATAGGAGAGGTGCAGAGTAGTCAGGTGGGTTGTGTCACATGCAGTGGTTTTATGTGGCAGCTAAGGAAACCTGAGTTTAGGAACCTCAATTTTCCGTAAGGGACCTACCTGTGAGCAAACCTGCTTGGGCAGGTTTGTTAAACTGGACAAAAACAAATCTGCCTTTTGCTACAGAGGGTGATACCATTTTGTTCTTTCACGGCTCTTTGTTATTCAAACATTCTTCAAAAGAGAGAGCCAAACAAAAGCTGTCAGTGTGTCTGTTCACAAGACATGCTGAAACGAGAGAGACCCATGGAGAATTGCCTCTCAGGAGCAAATGTACGTTTTGCTTTGTTTTATTTTTGCCTTTTATTACCCATCCTTAGGGTTGATTCCTCTGTATACCTTGTAAGCACCCACTTTTAAGTTTTAAAATATATCCATTGTTAATATTTGTGTGTTTGAAAAGATGTATAGTGTAGTATATGTTTTATAACTTTCATAACCAGGGCTTATGTATAAATCAAACAAACAAGGTAGACATATTCATGGTGGTTTGTGTACATTTCTTTTGTTTCTGAATGTTGCATAGAATTCCATTGTATGTATCACTTTTTTCCCCAACACATTTCCTTGGTAAGTGGACATTTGAGTTGCGCCTGACTAGACTGCCACAACTAACAGTGATGTGTGTATAGATAACACATTTTCAACTGCTGTAAGACTGCCTGTGGAGCAGTGATCATCAAACTTTACTGTGCATTATAATCACTTGGAGGACCATAGAAAGCTGACCCCTACTTCTTGATTTATGTATCTAGGGTGGGGTTTTAGGATTTTCATTTCAAACATGTTTTCAGCTGAAACTATTGCTACTGTTGTACATTCACACTTTGAGAACCACTGCCCTGAATATAAACCCAGGAACAAGGTTGTGGGGTCATAGTGTTTATAGGTACTTGATTTTTTATGTAATACCAGATCACTCTTTGAAATGGCCGTGCCAGATTTGATATTTAATATCAGTGCTTGAGGGTTCTTTACTTCTTTTTTTTTAAATAGTTTTATTAGTGGCTCATACAACTCATCACAATCCATACATACATAAATTGTGTAAAGCACATTTGTACATTCAATGCCCTCATCATTCTCAAAACATTTGCTCTCTACTTAAGCCCCTGGCATCAGGTCCTCGGATTTCCCTCTTCCCTCCCTCTTCCCCCCTCCCTCGTGAACCCTTGATAAGTTAAAAATTATTATTTTGTCATATCTTGCCCTGTCCGACTTCTCCCTTCACCCACTTTTCTGTTGTCCTTCCCCCACGGAGGAGGTCACATGTAGATCCTTGTAATTGGTCCCCCCTTTCCAACCCACTCTCGGTTCTTCACTTCTTATATCTGCTGTCTTACCGTACTATTATCCAATTTTCCAATTCTTGACTATATGAATGGGGTATGACACAAACCTTGTTTCAATTTGCATTTCATGGATTACTAGCTAGCAACTTGGACTTCCCCTGTAACCATAATGATCAGTTTTCTGCATTTCTTACAGATTTGGTTGGTTGGTAGTGGAAAATATGGCATATATATTTTCACTAAGTTATGGATGATAGAATAGGAAAAGTTTAACAGTTTAGGAGAAATTAGTACTATCCTAGATTATAGAAGTAGTTTTCAGACTGATTTTTTTTGTTGGGCTGTGATAAGCTGAAGAACATTTGGAGTGAAGGAAAACAATAGATTTCATAATGCCATAGTGTCTGGGCTGTTACGTTCTCCTGGTAGAGAAGTTCCAAAAGTTACTGTGGATGGTAAGTACAATCCCTAGGAATGTAATTGTGATGGCATTACATTATGTATGTTTTATGACTCTGATTAGGATTCCAGAGATGTTAGAATTGTGTTTTAATAATCAATTTGTGACCATATATTGACGATTATTTTGTGCCAAGTCGTTTTCTGGATGTTGATTCCTGTTTGCTCACAGAGGTGGTTTTTCTGCTTAGATTACTCCCCACCAAGCTGTCAAGGCCTATTCATTTAAGTGAATCTTTGTAGATAACTTTTCATTCTATACATCTTTTCTACAAAAACGTTTGCTTTTCAGAAAAATGTTTGAACCCATTGACCCATGTTTTGTTTCAGTTTTCATGGCAAGGAACCCTGGTGGTGTAATTGGGCTGCTAACCATAGGTCAGCAGTTCAAAACCCCAGCTGTTCTTTGGGAGTAAAATGCGACTTTACACCTGTAAAGTCTTACAGTTTCAGAAAACCACACAGCAGTTCTATCTTGTCCTATAGGGTTGCTATGAGTCAGAATTGACTCAGGCAGTAAGAGACCTTTCATAGCAATGTGGCCATCTGCATTGCACTCCCGGAGGTAATGAATATGGGTAGAAAACTTCAATTCTACTCATCTACTATTAAGAGAAAAATTAGTTTGTAAGTTTTTAAAATCATTTTATTAGGGGCTCATACAACTCTTATCACAATCCATACATACATAAATTGTGTAAAACGCATTTGTACATTCATTGCCCTCATCATTCTCAAAACATTTCCTCTCCACTTAAGTCCCAATTAGTTTGTAATTTAAGACAGCTTTCTTTCCTGAATGAGAACAGAACAAAGTTTTTTATATTATCTAAGTCAGATTATTGCCAATTCCACTCACTTCTCCTTCCTTGTTTTTTTTTCTTTCTATTTTTCGTTTTTATTTTCCTTTAAAAAATTTTTTTTTTTTTGCAGGCTGTGACAGTGAGGAACTCCATGGCTAAGTCTCTCTATAGTGCCCTGTTTGACTGGATAGTTTTTCGAATTAATCACGCACTTTTAAATAGTAAAGATTTGGAGCAAAATACCAAGGTAAGCATACCTTGATTATACAAATGTTTCCCTTAAAATTGTTTTAATGAAATGGCTAATCACTGAAGTCGAGTGCAACACAAGACAGAATAATACAGAGTAAGTACGAATCACCCTTAAATGTACTCCCTTTCAACTGCTGTTTTTATTACTCTGTTCAGAGGAACTTTTGTTTTGTCCTTTTTTTTGGTAATAAGCCTTTTAAGATTATGCAACATTTTAAACCCTCTGTGTGTTTTAATATAAAAATTAAATTAAACCATGTTTTCATACTGTTTCATCCTTCAACTTCATGAAGCTGAGTAAACACACTTTACCCAGTTCTTAAAATAGAGTTCCATTTATTGAGATTATAGAAATCAAAACTAGAAAAACTTTCGTGATTCTCTTGGCGTAGCCAAACGTAATCAGGATTAAACTAGCTCTGGTGATACTTTGTTTAAGTAAATTTGTGACTTCATACCCTGTTGTTTCCATTCCTTTGTTTCATAGAATATAGGAATTTATGAAATAGAGATAGCAAGCTTGGTACAGTTCTCTAAAGCAGTGGTTCTCAACCTCCTAATGCCGTGACCCTGTCATACAGTTCCTCATGTTGTGGTGACCCCCAACCATAAAATTATTTTCGTTGCTACTTCATAACTGTAATTTTGTTACTGTTATGAATCGGGTGACTCCTGTGAAAGGGTTGTTTAACTCTCAAAGGGATCACGACCCACCGGTTGGGAATGACTGCTCTAAAGTAATCCATGTGTGTTAAATTTTTTATGTATTAAAATATAATGTGCTAAAATTTAAATGATTGTTAGGGAAGAAGATATGAAGTTGGACTAACCTTTAAAATTTTTAGTTTATGAAGTTTAAATAAAAATTATTATATAATTATAGAAACCTATATTAAAGAAAAATATCAAAATTGAAACTATTGTTTGTCAACATATCCTCTGTCCTGAAGATGGTGTTTCTATCTCTAACACTTTCCTGAAGGATTCTGTACTCTTTGATTTATACCATGTTAAAAAACCTTAAGGAATTAAATTTGTGTTAGTTTTAAATGTACTTTGAATTTGGGGAATAAAAAAGTCTGAAGAGACAAGATCAGGGTTGCAGGTTGTAAGGTTTCTTGTGGGAAAGCCATTGCTATTCTTGAGGAATGAAATGGTAGATTGCCATGATGGGGGTCGGTAGGTGGGGAATCCTTGGCACAACTTTCTTAGCCCTTTCCCAACCAAGGCAGTGTTCAGTTTTCTTAAAACCTCTTCATAGTAAGCTCCCATGATTGTCCTGTGACCTTTGAGAAAAATCTATCATTAATAACCCTTGGGAACCTGAGAAACAACCGCTGTAACATTCTAAGCTGACATCTCTGCCTTGGATTCAGCTGACCCAGCAGATGCCCTCAGAAGCCACTATTTTGATTGGACCTTGTTCTTTGGATCGTATCGGTAAATCCAAGACCCATCCCCAGTTGTTCCACGAAGCAAAGCTTCATTGGCTTCGCTCGTGCTTCCAAGACTAATGGAAAGATCAGCTGTTGGGGTTAATGGATACACAGCATTTTTGTTACCCACTAAGCCAAAAGCTTCCTGAGGCCAAGATGTTTGCTTTAAGTTGAAAGTACAGAGCCACGTAAGATCCCAGCGTCAGTAGCTGTGGCATCAATGATAATGGTCTTGTTCTAACAGTTCAACAGTGTCTTCATTCAAGACTAACAGGTCTTTTGTCTCTTGGTTCATTTTTGACCAAGACCTTTGAGACTAGTGCGTTCCTGAGAGAACTTGTCTGCATCCATCCACGGATCACAGAGACCTGTTTAAATAAGTTTTGTTTGAAATAAACTGTATGTGTGAACTGGAACTCTAGTAAACAATATTTTCTGACTTACTCATATTTTGCTTGTGCATTGGCCAAAAAATTTTTCCTTTCTTCTGCTATAGAATGCCTATGAATGTTTTGGTTTATATTTTATGGGTATTATTTATTAGGTAAACTTGAACATCATTTTTAACCAATTTTTGTTTTGTTTTTCAGACTTTGTCCATTGGTGTTCTTGATATTTTTGGTTTTGAAGATTATGAAAATAACAGCTTTGAACAGTTTTGTATTAATTTTGCCAATGAACGTTTACAACACTACTTTAATCAACATATCTTTAAATTGGAGCAAGTGAGTACCTGAGTGTATGCATGCTTATCTTCCATGTTAGTGAGTGCACACTCTTCTTTCTCTTGTCTCTCTCTTTCTCTGTCTCTGCCTCTCTTACACACACACACACACACACACACACACACACACACACACACGTTTTTGAGTCATAGTCATGTGCCTTGGGTTACTAACCACAAGGTTCAGCTGTTGAAACCACTAACCACTCCAAGGGAAAAAAAGGAGACTTTTTACTCTTGGAAAGAGTTACAGTCTAGCAAACCACAGCAGTATTCTACTGTATACTATAGGTTGCTATAATTTGGAATCGACTTGATGACTGTACATTTTGGGGCTTTAGATTAGTCTTTATAGTAGTATCAGCAAATAACAAATCAGTAAAGTTTTTGAGCAATATTATACAGGATTTTTTTCCCATTGTTTAATAATACATGCTTCTGTACTTGTCTTAGTGTGCCCTGGGGGCAGAGTGAAGAGATGAGTGGGTTTGTTTGGGGTTTTAATTGTTGTCTTTTAAAAATTGAGTTGTAGGTATTCTTTATATATTTTGGATGTTAAACTTTTAATTAGATTTATAGTTCTCAAATTTTTTCTCCCAACTGTATTTTCTCTCTTTCCTTTGTTGATAAAGTCCTTCAATCAACAATTTTTTTAATTTTAATGAGTTCTCTCATTGGTCTATTTTGGGTTTTATTTTTTGTTTTTGGTGTTATTAAGAATGCACTGTTAAAAATCAAAACCTGAAGCATTATTCCTCTGTTTTGAGCTAAGAGTTTTATGCTTTTTGTTCTTACATTTGGTCTTGATATACTTGGAATTGGTTTTCATATATGGTATTTGGTATGGGTCCAAGCTCACTCTTTTGTATGTGAAAATCTGAATGTAATCTTTTTCCCTCTAGTATATCTTATTAAAGAAATGATCTTTCCTCTGCTAAATAGCCTTAATACCCTTATCGAATATCAGTTGACTATAGATGTTTATTTCTGGATACATAAATCTGTTCCATTAAACCTATCCCTCACATAAGGACATTGTTAGGTTACAAAGACTAGGTCAGGGTGTAGAATTATAATTATTCATTCTCTTTGTCACCTGTGGCCCTCACATACAGTCCATCACTCAGTGCTCCTTGGGAACTCCTGGCATTTCTTTACACAGCAGTCCCCAATTTTCCTAGTCCATCTGAGAGGTGACTTTACCCCTTTGCTCTGCAGGCTCCATTCTTCTTTCCTTTGTTCATGTAGCCTAAACCCCTCAGCTTTCGGTGGTGGCCGACCCTTCTGGCACCTTAATGGCAGCACCACACTTCTAAACGGAATTGCTGAAGATCTGACTGTTTGAAACGTAGAAGACTGAAGGCACTCCTCCCTGTGAGCCTTGCAGGAGGTCTGTTGGTCTCTGAGCTACTCCAGGAATGATCTTTTTCGCGGAAGATAACACATGTGGCTCTTTAGACCTGTATCTGCTGGCAGTTTTACAACAGGCAGATACATTCTCCTTTCCTTCCTTCTCTGTCCCCTTCCGCCTAAGCTGTTTATAGATCCATCCATCACAGGCTTATTGTTTTTGCTAAACATTCTAGGACATATGTCTTCCAAATGTTTTAGTTCTGTTTCATTTTGCACAGTTCATTTTAAAGTCTATCTCTTTCCTTTCAAATGGCCTCTTTACAATCTTGTTAGATACCCATCAACCAGATATCCAAGTTCATCACTTATAGGTTCTACCTTTTGCCAAACATTTGAACACAATTCAGACAAGTTCTTTGTTACTGCATAAAAAGCATTGCACCTTTTCCATTGTCTAATAGCATGGCCATTGTTTTCTTTTAAAGCTTCAGAAGCATATTTAACATCCACATTTCCAGCAACATACTATTGCTGGTACCCTATGTATCTTCTGAGATCATGTGAACTTTTTCTATGTTCTCCTTACTTCCTTCTGAACCTTCAGGAGAGTTACCTTTGATGTTCATTATCTGCCAACAGTCTCTTCAAGGCAATCTAGACTTTACAGTTGGGCATCTCAAAAGTCTTCCAGCCTCTTCCATTACCAAATTTGAATACAACTTCCACATTTTAAGTATCTGTTAGAGCAGCACCCTCACTTCTTGGTACCTAATTTTGCCTTACTCATCTGTGTTTGCTGAAACAGAAACACGACAAAGTATGGCTCTAACAAATAGAGCATTATTTTCTCACAGCTTAGGAGGCTAGAAGTGCAAATCCAGGCAGGCTTTGTTTATTGGCTTTGGAGAGAAAGTTACTTGTCTCTTTTTTGCTTCTGCCTCCTGGTTCTTTGGAAAGCTTCATGTGTCTTGACGTCTTATCTTATTTCATCTGTCTTTCCACCTTGTGTTTTTCTCTTTTAGATCTTAAAAGAAATGGACTCAAGCTGTACCTTACACTAATCCTGCCTCTAAACAACTCATTCCAGAATAAATTCTAACTATAGAAATAGAAGTTAGGATTTACAACAAAAATTTTGGAGGGACATAATTCAATCTGTAACACAAAGAGTTTTCAGTGTTAATTATTATATACTTATTATTTTCTGCAAGCGGAATATTCAAATGTTTATTTTCTTATTTGGTTTTCCTAGGAGGAATATAGAACAGAAGATATCAGCTGGCACAATATTGACTATATTGATAATACTTGTTGTATAAATCTTATTAGTAAGAAACCAACAGGATTGCTCCATCTATTAGATGAGGAAAGCAAGTAAGTATGTTTTTTTTTTAATTGTGTTATTTGCTATTTGGATAAATTTATATCTTTTAAGTCATAAACTTCTTACATTATTGAATAAAGATAATGGTTCCCATTTTGAGTGTTTCTTGGTAAGTAAGGATGAACTTCACCTTTAAACTAATTTTTGCCTTGAATTTTTACTGATTTCCTATAGTCACTTTGATGTGAAATTTGTAGATACATACATATGTATGTATTTTGTATATGTTCCTCTCCTCTTGAATTGAGTTGTACATATGTTGCATGTGCAGTTTATTTGCTTAGCAGAAGATAATGTAATAAACTATTGGTATCTACCTTGACTGTGCAGGTGGTGTCAACATGTGCCAAATAGTTTCTGGTCTTTGTGAACACTGTTCACTATCCTAAACTTAAATACAAGCTTCAGAAAAAGCTTCTTGTAGTATTGGTCAAAGTACTTTTAATACTCTGTAAAGATTTATAGTTAAATAATCCTCTATTCTAGAATTGGAGAACCTGAAGTGATAGAGGATATGTGAGTTTTCTGTGATGGTTTTAATTAAAAAAGTAGAAATTAAACTAGGTCATTTTATTTGTAATTTAATATTGTATCCATTAAAATAGGGTAGGTAAGATTAGGGATTTGTTATCATAGATAAGATGGCCAAACATTAAACATGGCACAGTATAAAGTTTATGCTCATTTTCCAAGCACCTCCCTTCATTTTTAGATATAGTATGGTTTGTGTACTGAATTATATATCTCCTTATTCATATTCCAGTAAGCACACAGAATTGCTACATATAAATAGAAGCAGCATTGGCAGAATGAGAAATACATTAGGAAGATGACTGCCAACAATTTTGTCAAATATCCATTCTGTAGACTTAAGTCTATTTTCATTCACAATTGAAATGATCTGAAATTCGGTTGTCACAAATACAGACTATTTTACATTTGTCTAAAGTTGCTTGAAAGATTCTGATACTGCTTTGTATGTCTTGGACATGTACTAGGTCATTTAAAATGGTAAGGTTAGTGATCCTTCACTCTGCTTGCCTTTGTTCCTCAGATCTGCCATTCGAACTGGCGCAGAGTTCAGATACCTTTACCTTGGAAAGCTTTGTAGATGCTTCTGATACTTCGTTTTGAGAACCATAGGATAATAGGGAAATGTTAAGCTGTTCTTTCTGTTTGATTTTTTTTTCAAAAGAATTTTTTATTGTGCTTTGGGTAAAGGTTTGCAAAGTCAATAGACTTTCTGTTCAACAATGTATATATATTTTGTTTTGTGGCATGTTTGATATATTTTATAGTAACAAAAAGAATTAAAATATTGAAACAATATAAGAAAAAATTCATGTAGGTAGTAAATGGGAGACTTGGCATTTAAACCTCTCAGGTATTTCTGTCTTCTAAGCTTAGACTTTGAGGTATTGTATGATTCCGTCCCATAATACTTAGACTTGAGACTCCAGAGTCTAGGGTTTATAACCTACCATATATACTCAAGTATTAGCTGACCTGAATATCAGTCGAGGCACCTAATTTTATCACAAAAACTGCATTAAAATGTACTGAAAAACTCAGCTTATACAGGAGTATATACGGTAACTGTATTAACTACCTTGGCAAATATTTTACTAACTTTGATTCTCAGTTTTCTTGTATGTGAAAAGGAAATGATGGCAATCAATAGCACTACCCTCTGCCGTGTATTTTAAAGTTGTTTGGGCAGCAATTGGGATAAGATGAACAAGAGGAGCATGAACTGGCCTGTCATTCTTTGAGCAGAATTTCCATCTTATTAAACACAATCTCTCTAGTAAGCCAGTTCCTACCTTACAGCTTTCAGATTTAAATGTTGCCCCCAAAAGAGAGTGTCATCCCTTGGTTGCTAGCCAAAGTTTATGGATCTAAACCGCATGTTCAGAAATTATAAGATGACAGATTTTGGCTCTATATAAGGAAGAACTTTCTAATCTTTAGCGCTGATTAGCTGTGCTTCATAAAGTAATAAACTTTTCTATCATAGTAATTATTTTCTGTAATTTGTCAGGGTATTGTTGTAGGTAGCTGACTGGACTGAGTAACCTCTTTACTGACCTTTTCAATTTCTATATGCAGTCCTTCATATAAATCTTAAATAAACAATAACATTAGTTTCCACTTTGAGTCAGTTCTGTAGTTATTGTCTCCTTTTGTAAATAGACTGCCTTTGTCTCTGCCTTAACATCCCAGAAGATGTTGCATGAAAACATGAAAATTTTTTGCTTTGCTATTTAGCCCTGAAGTAGTATTGCATAAAGAAATTCATTATATTTAGGAAGAGTTATTTTGGGACTTATTTAGACTGAGTTTTTTTCCTTCTAAAGAAATCTTTTGTTCTAAAGGGAAAATATAATGTGAGATGTGGCTGTACAGGGGAGGGAGGCCTTCAAAAAGTTCATGGAAAATTTTTGTTATCTTTTAGTTTTATTTTTCCATGAACTTTGATGCCCCTCATGCATTCAGGGTATTTTTGCTTTGTTTAATGTGCTGGTGGTGCTTTAGTGCATGGGTTTTGACTCAGAAGCCTTGGTTAATCTTATGTTTGCTACTTACACTGTGTGACCTTTGGCACCATTAGTTAAGCTAGATTCTGAAGGAGGAGACAATGTGTTTAGGAAGGAGGAAGCGTTTAAAGAGAGTCAGAGTGAGGTTAGGAGTAAGGGGTTAGGAGTGCTGTCTGTCTATCTGTCTGTCTGTCTATCTATCTATCTATCTATCTATCTATCTATCTATGTTTGCTACATAGTACTTGAAGTATGAGCTGCAGAGAGTTGCACTGGCAGCACTTTGGAGCTTTTTAGAAATGCAGACTCAGGCTGCAACCCAGAACTATAGGATCAGAATCTGCCTTTGACAAACAGATGAAGCCATTTATTTAGCATAGTATTTGTCAATTTACCTCCAAATAAGAATTACCAGGGGATTAAGAGTGATGCTGGGTCAACCCTCCTGACCAGTTAACTCTGAATCACAGGAGTTGAGGTCTAGGCAATGGTGATTTTGAAAGCTCCAGAGGTACTTGTTATATGCATAGAAATGGTATTTGGAGTAAAGGCAATTCCCATTTCTAACTCCCTTTGGCAATTTCTGTTCTCCATTTAAAAAGGGAAACTGGAAGGCTTCATCATGCTTGGGTCTGGAGGAACCCTACATTCCCACAGCACTTGCAAGAACATTTTTGAAACTATTTGAGGCCTTGTTCTGACAGCATCTACAGAGGCAGGTTATAGAAATTTCAGACAATTGAAAAGATACACGAGTCTAAAAAAAAAAAGAAAAGAAAAGATACATAAGTAAATAGATAAAAGTGAAAAAAATCAGTATTAAATTTTGTGATTACAGAGTATTAGATTAGAAGGTAAATAAACCCTTAGAGACAACTAGGTGGAGCATACTACTAGAAGAGAATTCAGCTGTGTTGTAGTGGCACACATTTGCAAAGGCTGGATTGACCTAGACTTGGAACTTGGAGTCATTAGTCATGGCCTTTGGTGAACCATGTTTTTTCTGAGTAGGGAAGGACCATGCTGAAAGCACCATTGTAGGAAAATGTATTTTGATGGTAGGAAATAGGCTAAGGTTAGACTCAAGAGAGTGTTTGAAATAAAGTTTGGCACTGTAATACTCTTTGAGATTGTTAAAGGTTGTAATAGTCCAGTCTAGAATGGCTGTAGAGTTTTAAAATGGAAAGAACACTTAGATACTTAGATGGGGAAGATGTTTTGAGGAAGATATTTTGAATGCAACAGCAGGCCTAGAGTTGAAAATAGGAAAACAAAGAATTTCTTTTGGGTTTTACAGTATTATAGCACAGTGTGGGTTTGGCCAAGTCACAACTTGTTCTTTCAACGGTAAAATAGGGATGGCAGTCCTTGTTATATTCACTTTGTAATCTGAAAAACAGATTTGATAATATAGACAAAAGCTTGTTGTAAACTGCTCACCATGTTAGGTGACAATGTAACTAATTTATTTTAAAAGATGGTACTAATGGCTGTACCTTTTTTTTTAATTCAGCTTTCCACAGGCTACAAATCAAACATTATTAGACAAATTTAAACATCAACATGAAGAGAATTCTTACATTGAATTTCCAGCTGTGATGGAGCCTGCTTTCATCATAAAGCACTATGCTGGGAAAGTTAAATATGGGGTAAAGGTCAGTAAATGTCTCATTGACTATTTCTTCAGGGCAGAGGTGTGTTCTTAACTATGCCCTTGTCCTTGGCCCACTACCTTTTGTATAGTTGGTGGAGGCCTTGATTAGCACAAATCAGACCCTGCTTTTTCAATACCCGCCTTAGGACTTGTTTTTAACGATTTTTCCCTGCATACCAACCTGATGTTACAAGTACTGTTTGCGAGTCTTAAACCTGCTAGTTTTGAGACATCTTAGAGATTTTCAAACTTCTCTTAGATATATATATATATATATGAGACCTGACAGAGGCTTCATGTTTTCATATATCTACCCATTAGTAGGTGGGACACATAACCCCTGCAGAGGGTAATATTCATAATTTTGTCCATTTCCTTGTTTGTTTGAGTCCATTAGCTTCTTCCACTTGATGTTTAAGCCTACCACTTAACTTCCCAGACAAGTCAGTAAAGATAGGGAGAGTAGTGGAATAGTGTGTTCATCCCTGTATCTGGAGGTGAGTGTCAAGTTAAGATTACTAATTCATTCATCCATTTATTCAGAAAGTGTGCATTGAATACATATGATGTGTCAACACTGGGGATAAAATCAGTGTTGAGGAATAAAATATAATCTGGACAACCATGATCCTTAGCTTTATAGATATACATGTGCACATGTAGTATGTGAGTGTATCTATACATAAATACCGTAGATATAAATTAAAAAGTATTGTTACTTGGGCTCCAGTTTATACATGCCTGGAATTTATTCCAAACAAAACATCTTTTTTAAAAAAAATCATTTTATTGGAGCTCATACAATTCATCACAATACATACATCAGTTGTGTAAAGCACACATACATTTGTTGCCCTCATCATTCTCAAAATTCACTTTCCTCTTGGGTTCCTGGAATTAGCTCATTTTCCTTTTTTTCCCTCCTCCTCCCTCCTCACTCCCCCCTCCCTCATGAACCCTTAACGTTCTATGGATGGCTGCAGGTAAGTTCTCACAGTAATACGTTTTCTTAATCTTATTAGGGCCCATCAAACAAAAAAGTCCAATGAAAATAGTTGCGTCGAAGGGAATCTGCTGAACTAGTTCAAGTCTAAACAAAGAGGCCAACTCAGAAGGTTATGGTGAATGTTTTAGAGGATTTTCTTGAAATATATAGGATGATCACGAGGGCTTATTTAAAGAAGTCATAAGAAAATTGAAAACTGCATTGTGAGAAAAAAACCAGGAAAGTTATACCAAGGAGTTTTTCCCCTTAAAGACAATGTACTTGGTCATTCTTTAAGGATAGCAAGGCTGTCACATCACATTGGGGCACCTTACTCTGTCCACCCTGATGTTGCTGCAGCAGACTTTTTTTTTGTTCCCTAGACTCAAAGAACATTGAAAAGGAACATTATTTGAGTTTCTCAAGGATTCTAAAACTCCATTTGGGTTTGGTGAAAATCACAGAATTATTCAGAAGCATATAGATCCAGATAGTTGGAGGATATGTGAAGAAACTTTCACATCTTGATATTTTTGTTAACACAGGCTTATATGATTTTATAATCATTTTCTTAGACTTGGGGGGGAGTGCAGAGTGGAGACCCAAAGCCCACTTGTAGGCCACTGGAGATCCCCTTGCAGAGGGGTCTCGGGGAGGAGACGAGCCAGTCAGGGTGTGATGTAGCAATGATGAAAAATACAACTTTCCTCTAGTTCCTAAATGCTTCCTCCCCCCCACCCTCACCTGCTTGCAAGTCTGGCTAGACCAGAGGATGTACACTGGTACATATAGGAACTGGAAACACAGGGAATCCAGGGCGGATGATCCCTTCAGGGCCAGTGGTGTGAGTGGCAATACTGGGAGCGTAGAGGGAGAGCGGGTTGGAAAGGGGGAACTGATTACAAGGATCTACATGTGACCTCCTCCCTGGGGGACGGACAACAGAAAAGTAGGTGAAGGGAGACATTGGACAGGGCAAGATATGACAAAATAATAATTTATAAATTATCAAGGGCTCATAAGGGAGGGGGGGGCAGGGAGGGAGAGGAAAAAAATGAGGAGCTGATGCCAGGGGCTTAAGTGTAGAGCAAATGTTTTGAGGGTAATGAATGTACAAATGTGCTTTGCACAATTGATATATGTATGGATTGTGATAAGAGTTGTATGAACCCCCAGTAAAACGATTTAAAAAGTTTTTTCCTCAGACTTATGTACACATATACATGTATAAGCATGCCACATGTATGTATACACATGCACAATTGAAAATAGGGCTACGTATTATAAACTTGAAAATGGGATCTGTGAGAAAATTTTGAAATAGTGCATGGATCTATTTGAAATTTGTGGCTCTTTAAGTACCTTTTGAGATATTAAAAATTTTTAAAGATCCCTTGAAATAAGTACTAACTTTTTGAGGATTTATATATTATAGATCATAAGATAGATAAGAGCTTAATATGTTGAAATAATTGAAGACAGGCCTCCGTTTTGGATTACAGTGAGCAATAGAGAAAGTGGCATGAAATGACTTCAGGGAATGAACAGTGGGCCAGCCCTTTAGGGATGCTAGCCCAAGTTAGTTAAAGGGCTTTTTAAAAAAATTTAAGTTACTTTGGGGGAATCATTAAAAGATTTTAAAGAGGGAATGTGAGCTATGTTTTGAAAGTTTGGTTAGAATTTTGTGTATAAGATAAGGAATAGATTGAGGAAAAAAACGGCAAAATTTTGAGCTATAAAACCTTATAATGATGCATGTAAAGTACACAAATTTAACAACAGATTTCCTCCATGCTCCTTTCAAGCTTACTCTTCCCCCAGAGATCACCATTATCTTGACTTTTATAAAACATCCTTAACTAGTTTCGCTTGTTACTAAGTTTCATTTAAGTGGAGTCATATTGTGCATGCACTTCCCTTGCATGTGTGAGATTCATCTATGTTGTTTTCTAATCAGATAGGCTGAAAGGAAAAAGATAGAGAAAAAATTAGTGTAAACTCACAAAAGAAAGTTAGTAACATTATCAGAAAAAGTAGAATTTAAGGCAAGAAGTATTACTCTAGATAAAGGACATTTCCAAATGATAAAAAGGATGAGATGCGTAGAATACTTAACCTTCTAAATTGGTGTGCACCTAATGAGAAAGATTCAAATTATGTGAAACAAAATGAGAACAGAATTAGAAACAGAAAAGTCCACCATCATAATTCAGTGCATTCTACCTCCTCCTGTCAAACTGATTCCAGATTATCTTGACCAACCCTATAGGACAGAATGGAACTGCTCCATACTGTTTCCAAGACTGTATCTTTATGGCAGCACGCAACTTCACGTATTATTTTCAGTGGAATGGTTAGTGGGTTTTAACTGCTGGCCGTTTGGTTAGCAGCTGAACGTATAACCCCTGCATCACCAGGGTTCTGTACCTGGCACAAAAATCAGTAACACCAGAAAATACGGTAACCACATATGTACAAATATGCTGGATACAATTGATGTATTGAGTGTTGTAAGAACTGTAATAGCCCCCAATACAATGATTAAAAAGAAAAATAACACTATTAAATAACTGACCTACTTGACATAAAAGGAGAACCAGATCATCGCTGGATTTTTAGAAATTAGAACTCTTCTAAATAGCCAGGAGCCACCCCTCCCACCAAATCAATTAAACTTATAATATTTAAATTGAAAACAATATGATAAAATTTATAAAATACACTTAAAGCAATGATATCTTATTGTTAGCTGGCATTGAATTGGTGCTTGACTAATGGTGAGTCTTATGTGTTACAGAGTAGAACTGTTCTCCAGGCTTTTCTTGGCTATAAATTTTTTTAAAGTCATTTTATTTGGGGCTCATACAACTCTTATCACAATCCATAAATACATCAATTGTGTAAAGCACAATTGTACATTTGTTGCTTGGCTGTAATTTTTATACAGTTTGCCATACCTTTCTATTGTGGAATTTCTTACTTGGACTCAAACCACCAACCTTTTGGTTGCCAGCCAATTGCAGACTGCTTGTGCCACTCAAATTCCTTAAGTAGTCACTAGAGGACCTTTATAACCTTAAAGGCATATATGTGGGGGCTTCAAAAAGTTAGTGGAAAAATTCCATTATCTTTTAATTCTATGCTTCTATGAATTGGTGAAAGCCCCTAGTACTAGAGAAGAATGATCGAAAAGCAGTTATGTGCTTTTCCATTTTAAGAAACTAGAAAAAGAACAGCCAAATAAATTTGGTTTCCTTATACCCAAAGAAATTAGAGAAAGAAAATAATAAACCCTAGAATTTAGTATAATAAAAAATAGAGAAATCAACCAAATCAAAAGTCAGTTCCTTATAATTATGTCAATAAAACTGTTACATGTTGATTAAAAAATGTTAGTTCCTTGAAAAGATGATAGAAAATACTGTAGTATAGATGAGATATAAAATAGCTGGTAATAGGAAAAAAGATTCATAGATACAAATATTGGAAATGAAAAAAATACTTCATTACATACCTTAGAGTATTAAAAATATTGTGAACATACTTTATAACAAATTTGAGATTATAAAACATATTTTACCAAAACAACACTAGAGAAAAATACGAAAATCTGAAAGTATTATACCTGTTAAATAATTTTAATTACTTCCTTAAAGTTTTCTCATAAAGAAAATTCTAGGCCCATAAGGTTTTACTAGTAATGCTAAACATTAAACTAGTAATGCTAAACATTAAACATTAGCTTGGAAATATCTTTAGGATATGTAAATGTATCACATATCAAAGAAATAACAAGAAAGATCTAAGCTGGAAGAATACATTGAACCATCATCATATAATGTGAATAGCCACAGATATGGTTGATCATGTGATGTAAGATGATTGAGCAAAAATAATAATCCTAATAGTAATCCTGGGAATTTCCAATATGCCATTGGCAATGGGAACTGGAAAGGGTCAGCGCAGAGGTAAATAGTAAACCTCAAAAGTCTGTTTTACAAAGAATGACTGGTCAGTTATGTCAAATATACTGAGAAATCTAGAAATCTGAAGGCAAAGAGACCATTCGATTTAGAAAGTGAAGGCAATTATCAATCTTTGACATATATGGAAGGAATTCTAGAAGTTTAGGATGTACAGTGTTAAATGAATAGTCTTTTGAGTAGGGCACATTACTATTCTTGTACTGGCACCTTCAGTTCGACAAGTTTCTTCTCAGTTTTTAACAGTAAAGTATGCTATATAATTGAGTTTGTTATCATTAAAATGGAGTGAATGATGGGGGGAGTGCGGAGTGGAGATCCAAAGCCCATCTGTAGGCCACTGGAGATCCCCTTGCAGAGGGGTCTCGGGGAGGAGATGAGCCAGTCAGGGTGCGATGTAACAACGATGAGAAATACAACTTTGCTCTAGTTCCTAAATGTTTCCTCCCCGCTCCCACTACCATGACTTGAATTCGATCTTGCAAGTCTGGCTAGACCAGAGGAGGTACACTGGTACAGATAGGAACTGAAAATCCAGGGAATCCAGGATGGATGAGCCCTATAGGACCAGTGGTGTGAGTGGCAAAACAGGGAGGGTAAAGGGAGAATGGGTAGGGAAGAGGGAACCGATTACATGGAACTGTGTGTGACCTCCTCCCTGGGGGACAGACAACCGAAAAGTGGATGAAGGGAGACGTCGGACAGGGCAAGATATGACAAAATACCCATTTATAAACGTTTATCAAGGGCTCATATGGGAGGGGGGAGCGGGGAGGGAGGAGAAAAATGAGGACCTAATGTCAGGGGTTTAAATGGAGAGAAAATGTTTTGAGAAACGATGTACAAATGCGCTTTACACAATTGATGTGTGTATGGATTGGGATAACAGTTGTATGAGCCCCTAATAAATTTTTAAAAAAAAAAAAAAAAAGAAACACACTGAAAAAAAAAAAAGATGGAGTGAACTAAGGCAAGTGTAAAAATGGTGCGGCTGGTCCACCTCACCTCTGACTTCCCAAGGGGGAAAGAGAATCAAAGTCAACATCAGGCCAAGGCTGATTTCTGTGAGGCAGAGGCCTTCATTCCCTAACCACTTTTACCAATTCAGATACCAACTGCCCCTCCATCGGCACATTCCACTTCTCTGCTGGGTTCCATAATGCATTCCAATGACCTTACAAAACTCACAGATAATATTCGTGATTATGAGGTTAGTTAGGGAAGTAAACAGGTTACAACTTTGGATCAGAAATGTTCTGGATATAGTTTTCAGGGAAAATCACTTCTCAGTCATACACACAGGCCCCACTTCTCACCCTCCAACTTGTTTTTTCTCTAGTCTTTTCCAGATCAGTAAATGGCACCTGTATCCATCTAGTTACAGCCAAAATATAGATGTTAGCCCGATTCTTTCTCATTCTCTTATCCTCTAATCCATCAGCAAATTTTTTTGCCTTTACCTTGAAAACATTCCAAATGGGACAACTCTTCCTCTTCACAACTCTCCTACCTAGTACAAGTCATCATCAGTCCTTAAAAAGAGTATCTAGAATATTGTCATTGCTGGACCCCCACCCCCTTTTTTTCTCTTTCTTTCCAGACACAACAACTAATATTCTTTATAAAACTCCAGTTAGCTCATGTCATTTCCTTTTACTTGTGACTTCCCATTACACGTGAATGAAATCTAAATTCCTACTGTAGACTTACAGTTGCTAAATATGCTTATTTATTTGCCTAAGCTACCCCTCTTACCCTTGCTCACTATGCTTCATCCCTTTGTTTTAACGATTTTCTTCAAACATGTCAGCTCATTATTGCTGTAAGGTATTTGGTATGGGTGGTTTCTTTACTTCTGACTTTCTTCCCAGTCTTCTCAGGACTGCCTCCGTTTTTGTTATTCAACTCTGTTGTCACTTTGTTGCATTTATTCATAGAGACCCTTGCTGACTAGTATTTTAACAAGTGACAATAAAATTGTGGAATCATTCTAACTTATTTGTATTACAGAATTAAATAGTTGTAGGGTTGATCGGGGCTTTATAGAAGATATATGTGTGTTGTCTTTTTTTTTTTTTTTTTTGGTTTAATTTTATTAGGGGCTCATACAACTGTTATCCCAATCCATACACACATCAATTGTGTAAAGTGCATTTGTACATCGTTTCTCAAAACATTTTCTCTCCACTTAAACCCCTGACATTAGGTTCCCCATTTTTCCCCTCCCTCCCTGTGTGTTGTCTTAACGTTCTCCATTTCACTTCTCTAGGATCTCATATCCATGGACACACAGAACTTGTAGACAAAATTCATGGTTAACGGATTTATTATGTTGTAATGCCAGTGAGAATGTTTAAGGTTGAGTTGTTTATCAAGACATGTTACAAAGTAATTTCGGTCTGCCAATTAATATCCAAAGGAATATACCACTTCACTGTAAGCCTCAACCCAAAGGCACTCAACTCAAGCTCTGTGGGTCAGCGACACTTCTTGTTGTTAGGTACCATCGAGTGAGCTCTGACTCATAACGACCCTATGCAAAACAGAACGAAGCACTGCATGGTCCTGGGCCACCCTCATACAGCAAACCTAACACACCCAAATTAAGTCAACATCAGCCGGAAGGTACTCAACTCCATTTTCGTGGATCAGCAAGATCAACTTCCTCAATTAAGTACCGAGAAACACCCCACTCAGCAAGCCATGTTCCTGCACAAAAGCACTCAGCTTCACTTGCTCTGTGGGTTGGGAAGTCCATCACTCTGTTCCATGGTCTGGCTTCTGGTTCTGCTGCTGCTCTCTGAGCAGGCATCTCGAGTCCAGAGGATGTGCTCCACTGCTGGCTCTTGCTGTAATGAGATCCTTCTTCCTACTTATCAGAGTGCTGATGCTCCATCCAGCAGGACGGCACACCAAGAAATCTTGTTCACAATTACTTAGAGGAGAATTCTATCAGATTTTCCCCTACCACCTTAGCAGGCTCATGAAGAAAAATGGTCATTTGGTGGGTATTAGAGGCTTTAGCGAGAACTCGATTAAATAATGCACTGTCCCTGCAATCTGGTCCATTTGATTACCCAGAGAAATCACTTCTCTGTCTTTATTTAATCACTGTTCAAACAGTGGGTTTAATAATTTAAATAAATAAATAACTCTGGTCCTTTTTTCATGTAGGATTTCCGGGAAAAAAATACAGACCATATGCGCCCAGATATTGTAGCTCTACTGAGAAGTAGCAAGAATGCATTTATCTCTGGGATGATTGGAATTGATCCAGTAGCTGTTTTCCGATGGGCGGTTCTTCGAGGTTTTTTCAGAGCCATGGTTGCTTTCAGGGAAGCTGGAAAAAGACACACGCAGAACAAAACTGGTAAGCAACAGATACGAATACTCGGCCGTATTTAATTTTCTTTTTCCCTTTTCTACTCCACATACTAATTTTACTTATTTATTTATTGCTTTCTTACTATGTGCTATCTTCCTTTTTCACGTAACATGAGTTGACTGAACTTTTATATGGTTAGGTACATTTGTGATGTATATTTGTTTGTTTACAAAAATAATAAGTATAAAGCACCGAGCATTTAGTAGGCAGGCAGAAATGCATTGCTGTGATTTTTTTTTTTAAAGCAAAACCTGAAGTTCTAATCGATCATTTAATGATTCAGATTTTAATCTTGATATCCTCTCTATTTTCTTATGCCATAGCTTTGATTACAAATGAAACATAATTTAATATGAAAACATAAATCCGAAGACCTACAAAGTGGACTCTTGCTATGTAGTAAATTAAGTGCCTTCTCTTTTCTGGATTGCAGTTTTTCTTGTCTGTCAAAGAATGTGAATACTCTTTTAAAAAATTATGCTAAAAAAGCTTTATAAAGCATCTTTTCATCAAGTATTTATGTTTTTGTACCCTCGACTCAGTTCATTTGGCTTCACATTGAAATTTTGAAATGGACATTGCAGATAACGTTTTCTGTGTGCCCTTCTCTTGGGCCATAAAATAGTCTTTTACATTCTGTCATAGAGCATTTTCTTATGCTCCTGTTGTCTGCTGGAAGCAACACTATTGCTTATGGCAACTCTAGTTTTACCTGGACAGAGCAATGTTGCACAGTAAGGGGTCCCATTTACTGCTTGGGCAAGCTTGAGACTTGCACCCACTAGTAGAAGTATGATAGAAGATGCCCATGTCTCCAGGACTCTCAATCTGACCTATGAACTGTATCAGTCGGAAAGTGTTAAAGTCAGCTTTTCAATATTTGAAATGAGTAAATGTATTTGGAAGATTTTATAACTAAAATGAAAGGCAGAAATAATTAGAGTATCTAGTTTCATTTTTGAGATTATAATGTGTGATATCTGACCTTTGTAGGATTATTTTTTCCCTTTTGGAATGATAAAGTGATATCTCAAGCCTTCTTTGCAGCTCACAAATTAATTTCTAAGAGATTACCTTTGCAAACAAAGCATTAAAGAAAAGTTTCTTACTTTAAGATGCTATGTATCACAATAGGTTTTTGATAAACAAAACCAGTTCAAATTGATGTGTCTCCTGCCAAGATATAAATGAGAAGAAACTTCATGTATTTAATGTTAATAGGTGTCCCAGCACTGCCTTGTACCTTACTTTTGATTTCCTCCTCACGGAATAAGGACCTTCCTGAAGAAGAGAGCTGTTTAGAGAATATCTTGAGCAGCAGGGTCACCCGATTCATAACAGTAACAAAATTACAGTTATGAAGTAGCAACAAAAACAATTTTATGGTTGGGTGTCACCACAACTTGGGTCACAGCATTAGGAAGGTTGAGAACCACTGATCTAGAGGGTACAGGGTACATCATAACTTGTCCATGAATTATATATAAGGTACGTAGAAGTGAGCACATCTCTTTCTGCAAAGCTTATTCACATTGTCTGTTACATTTGTTTGGGATTTGAAATCTATTTTGTGAAAGCTAGTTTTTGATATCTTATTATCAATTTGACCAAAGACACACAATGGTATTAATGACAACCCAATTGAACCTGTAAGTTGATAATGTCTAGATTATTACTGTTTTGGGATCTAATTTCTAGCTATCATAGAATTTCTGAATAATAAACACTTTTCAGTCTAGAATATATCCGGTATCTAGAAAAGTGCACAAAACAAACATAGAGTATAGTAAATTATCAAAAAAGTTCAAACACCTCTGGAACGACCACTTACGCTGAGAAATAGAACATTATTAGTGCCTCAGAAGTCCCCTGGATTGACTTTTTAAAATGTAACTAGCACATTATAAATTAACTGAAAGTGGATTAAGTAGTCAATGAATAACTTGGATAATATAAATTGTATGCATACATATCATGATGAAATGAGAATTGGAGATTATTTAGGCAGAAGCAAAAAGTTTGAGGGCATAGAGTGACCTAGATTTAGATTTGAATGTACATAGGAGGTCAAAGAAAATATTACTAAAAGAAAGGAGATGAATACCTGCAGAACGATGGTATATTTTTACTTCCTTTGAGTGTATCTTTATAAAAATGTTCAATGGACTCTTACTGATTGTCAAGAAACACTGACAGTGAACAAAGTAGATACTAGATTTTCTCAGGGAACTCTCTGGCATTCTGTATCTTTTTGTTATGTCAGCTAAGCATAGTTGAGAATATTAAGTTAAAACCTCCTTTTTAAATTGTTAACATTTCCTTTTAAATGGACTTTCAAATTAAAGAACACAATGTCACTTTAAGGCCTATAAATGAAAAATTAGTTAATTCTTTTCGAGAAGTAATGCATTACAATTGGAGAGTGTAAGTTATGGTGGTTAGGCTATTGAAAACCAAAACATATTTTTAGTAGAATCACAAACAGGCTTTTTTTAAAACATGGCCTTTCTTAGAAGTCACTATAGCATGTAGTTAAGAGTAAAGGTTTTGGATTGTATGTCAATGAAATTAGTGGCCGTGTCAGATTGGGCTGTCTGGAGAAACAAAACCAGTGACACTGTATATGTATAAAGAACTTTATTTCAAGAAGTAATTTTTTATTGTAATAGATCATTTTATTGGGGGCTCTTACAGCTCTTATAACAATCCATACGTCCCATCATTTTCAGAACATTTTCTTTCTACTTGCACCCTTGGTATCAGCTCCTCTTTTTTTCCTCCTTCCCCCACCCTCTCACCCTCACAAACCCTTGATAAATTATAAATTATTATTATTTTCATATCTTACACTGTCCGCTGGCTGTTTCTGTTGTTCGTCATCCTGGGGTGGGATGGTTTTATACATCGATCATTGCAATTGTTTCCCATCATCCCCCTACCCTCATGGTATCACTACTCCCATTACTGTTCCTGAGGGGTTTATCTATCCGGGATTCTGTGTGTTGGGAGCTCTTATCTGTACCAGTGTACATGCTCTGGTCTAGCCAGATTTATAAGGTAGAACTGGGGTCATGATAGTGGGGAGGTGGAGGGGAAGAATTAAAGAACTATAGGATTGTAGTATGTTTCGCCAGTGCTATACTGCACCTGGCTAGCTCCTCTCTTCCTTTGACCCTTTTGTGAGTGGATGTCCAATTGTCAACAGATGGCCCCTGCCCCCTCATTCACATCAATATGATTGCTGATAACTGTTAACTGTCAACAACTGGTGATCACACAGGCTGGTGTGCCTCTTACATGTGGGCTCTGTTGCTTCCTAGCTGGATAGCTGCTTGTTTATCTTCAAGCCTTTAAGGCCCAGACACTATAACTTGCAATAGCTGGACACCATCAGCTTTCTTCACGACATTTGCTGGTGCAGCCATTTTGTCTTCAACAATCATGTCGGGAAGGTGAGCATCACAGAATGGCAGATTGTTAGAACAAAGTGTTCTTGCGTTGAGGGAGGACTTGAATAGAGGCTACCTTACTCAACATATAAATATATGTACATAGACTTATATTCCATCATTATATATAAATATATTTACATATGTATGTGCCTGTTCTTCAAAGAAGTAATTTTTTTATCAAGAAAATATCTCAGTCCAGTCCAATTCAAGTCCATGGGTGCATAGTTATGTGGATCTAATTAGGTGGACACAGTAGTGTGCCAACAGCCTTCAGGTTGGTTTCTGGGATCAGTGGCCCACATGGGACTACCCCTGGAGGTAGACACAGAGTCGTAGGAAGCAGAGAGGGTGAAAGGGCAGAGAACAGGAAGAAATTCTCACTGTCTTTCTTGTAGTAAAGGCCGTACCACCAAGGAGGCTTCATTCGGCTGTGACCGGAGTGATGGGTTAGACTCCATCCTTACATTATCATACAATTCAAGTTGACATAAAATCTTAACTACCACAGTGGCGTAAAGGCTTTGGAGAACTCTGAAAAAAATAGGATCAAAGTTTTCATTAGAAAAAGAAATCCTAGCCAAACGTGGACAATCAGTAATAACATGGCATTCTGCTCTAACCTGTGTCATCCTCCCCTCTCAACTCCATGGTCGTCTTAAAAGAGAACAGCCCACAATTACAATGAAAACCAGTAGCTGGAAGCCGCTGAAGGAAATGGAAGGGAGGTGGAATTCACTCAGAGTTTCAGCCATAGAAAATTTTCATTTTTTTACGTGCCGGGTGGTTTATTGCAGGATTCTGCTTGGCAAAGTGGGTATCTTTTCTCTTGAGCCATAAAATAATCGTTTACATTCTGTCAGAGAGGATTTTGATGAGCCCTCATGGGCTACTGGAAATCACACCGTTGCTTACTGCAACTCGCATTGTTCAAAGTGAGGAGTTTCTGGCAGCACTTGAATTGCTTTTTATGCCCAGGAAAGCATGAAATTTGTACCCATCAGTAGAAGGGGGACAGGTAATAGCTTCTCTGATAATAACTGAACAGATTACAAACAGAAGGGAATTCCCCTAATCTGATAAAAAGTATCTGCAAGTTAAGTTGTTCAGTGGCTGGCGGCCAACCAGCAGGTTGCCAGTTTGAACCAGAGAAATATATGGCTGTCTGTTCCTGTACAGATTTATAGCCTCGGAAACTTTGTGGGGCATTTTTGTGCCCTAGAGTCTTTGCTGTCAATTAGTTTGCCTTTTTTGTTTGCTTGTTTGTTTGTTTGTTTTCATATAAAGCTTCATGGTAAAAGACTGGATACTTTACCCTTAAGATCAGCAACAAGACAAGGGGATTTACTTTTGCTTCTGCTACTCAATTTTGTCTTGAAGGTTCTGGCCAGGGAAATTAGTTAAGAAAAAGACAAAAAAGATAAGATAGGAAAACAAGTAGCAAAACTGTTGTTTGCAAATGTCATGTTAGTAATTAGAGCTAATAAAGGAGATCTGCAAGGTTTTATGATACATGATCAATGTTCAGAAATGCATTTTATTTCTGTAAGTTAGCAATGAACAGTCCGAAAACAAATTAAGAAAAATAGTCAACTTACATGAGCACCAACAAGAATCAAATGCTTAGGAATGAGTTTAACAAGAAGTATTGTGTACTCAAACACTATAAATCATCCTTCATAAGACTTTAAAACAATCTAAATGAATAGGAAGCTGCCCTGTGCTCCAGGATTGGGATGCTTCATGTAGTTAAGATGCCAACAAGTGTAACATAGTCCCTACCTAGGCCTGGGCTGTCTTTTGTGTGGGGAAATTGACAGGCTAATCCTAAAATTCTTAGAAAAAAGAATCCAAAAACATTTTTTTTCCTTTTTGAAATCATTTTATTGGGGCTCGTATAACTCTTATCACAATTCATATATCATCCATTGTGTCAAGCACATTTGTACATTTGTTACCATCATCATTCTCAAAACATTTGCTTTCTACTTGAGCCCTTGGTATCAGCTCCTCATTTTCTCCCTTCCCTCCCCCACCCTCCTTCACCAACCCTTGATAATTTATAAATTATTATTTTTTCATATCTTACACTGTCTGAAGTCTGCCTTCACCCATGTTGAAGGATCCAAAAAGGAAAGAACAAAGTTGGAAGATTCAGATCTCCTGGGTTGCATTAGATAGTGGTCCCTCACATAAGTAAGATAAGCAAAATCACAAGCATAACAACAAAATAACAAGTTGACTTCCTGAAAATAAAAAACTTGATAGAACATTTTTAAAGTAAAACTGCAATCCACGGAATGACAGAAACATTTCAGGTCATGTGTCTCATTAGAGTTACTATCCAGAATATTTGAAGAAATTTTACAACTCAATAATATAAATAAACCAATTAAGTAATGGTTTATGATCATCCCAAAAGATGATGGCTGTACTCACTGCCATCAAATCTATTCTGGCTCACGTAACCCTATAGGACTGAGTAGAATCGCCCCTGTGGGTTTCTACGACTGTAAATCTTTATGAGACTAGAAAGCCTCATCTTTGTCTCATAGAGCAGCTGGTGGTTTTGAACTGCTGACTTTTCAGTTAGCAGCCATTGCAGAACCCACTATGCCACCAGGGCTCCTCTAAAATGTGTATTTTAAAATGGGTGAATTGAATGGTATGCAAATTGTATCTTAATAAAACTGTTACATGTGTACATTAAAAAATGATGTTTTATTCATACGAGTCTCCAATTTAAATAACCAAATGCCTATCAATGGAAGAATGGTTAACCAAATTGTGATTATTCTTTCAATGTAATGTTACTCAGCAAGAAGAAATAATTACTGCTACTCCTAATGAGTAAGCCATAAGAATCTGTTGAGCAAAAGAAGTCAGACATGAAAGTATAAATATATAGTGTGTGGTTTCACTGAGAACAGGCAAGTAAACTATGGTGATGGAAATCAGAACTTGGTTGTCTCTGCTGAGAGAGGTGATATTGACAAGAAGTGGGTGGCGGGTAGCCAGGGACTTGCTGAGATGTTAGAAATGTTCCTTTCAGTGTGGAGCTTATGGCAGTAAACACTTGATAAAACTCACCAAACTCTATTTGGTTTGGTCTTGCAGTTTATGAAATATGCTTTAAAAAATGGGCCTGGACACTTGCGTCACAGGAATTCTGTTTTTTGAGCAGAGACCTGACCTCCAGTCTGAGAGCTACAATAGAAATGGGATTGAACTCGAAGCTAGGAGCTTCAAAGTGCTGCAATATTCTCTCATGAAAAAGATAATTCCATAATCTAAAATTGAAGTAGTAACAGCAAAACTAGGCCAGGATTCAGCATAAGTAAATGCAAAAGAAACCTCTGTAAGAGTATGAGACGCCTTAGAAAATAATACCTGTTGAAAAGAAATACATAAATCATCCTAGGAAGTTAAACCACCTTGAGAGGACGTGGAATTAGTACACACAATAAATGAGAATTATTTCTTTAAGATTCGCAAATAGTACCACATCTTTAAAACAAAGCAAACAAACAAAAAACCCACAAACAAACTAAACTGCCAGGGAGTTCATGCTGACTTATAGCTACCCTTTAGGACAGGGTAGAACTGCCCGGAAGAGTTTCCCGTTTCTGAGACTAACTCTTAGAATGTAGAAAGCCTGTCTGTTTCCCTCAGAGGAGCTGGTGATCTCAAACTGCTGACCTTGAGGATCGCAGCCTAATGTGTAACCAAGTACCCCACGAGGGCCCCTACATCTTTAAAATGAGGAGGGTTTTTAAAAAATGTGTTTTTAAGGCATAGACAGCAGAATGAAAGAACAGTGCAGAACTTTTAATGGAGGTAAGCATAGTGTTGAAACAGAAAGCAGTCACAGATAAAACGTTACCCATGCTTTAATTTATTAGCTCAAAAAGAAAGTAAGAGTGCTGTGACTATAAATATTGTAATAAATATTAACTTAATGATAAAACTGTGCAGAATATCCTCGTGAGGTATTTCTGAGTACCATATAGACTCGTGTAAGTCGAGTTTTTCAGGACATTTTTAATGCAGTTTTGGTGGTAAAATTAGGTGCCTTGCCTGGTACTTGGCTCAGTTTATACTCGAGTATATGCAGTCGTATGTCATCAAGTCAGCAATTAAAGTGCCTGGAAATCTGGTGATTAAAAAAAACCAAAAACTTTCTGTTACAATTGAAATACAATTGAAATATTGGCCACTATTGAGTTGGAGTCAGCGTGAATATGGGTGGATTTAGGTCATTTTCCCTCACGTAGTCCTACTTTCCTTTTCCATCCCCCAGCTGCGCTGATATCAGCTTCCTCTCGCCAAGCAGTCATCAGTGGGAATCATGAGACAAAGAGTGCTTTTTGCATTGCCTTGTTCTTTAACCAATAAATGATGGGTGGCCTGGTCATACTTGTCTCTTTTTCAAGCTTTTTACATTAGTAACTGTTACTCTATATCAAGCCTATGAGACTGTTTTAGTAGTTTAGTTACTTTTTGAATGATTAAAAATGAAGGAAATAGTTCAAACCCATTTTCTTTTGAATCACACCATTTCTTTGTGTAGTTTTACTTGATGTTAGAATATCATAAGGTAATTCCTTTGTTTGTAAACAGATACCTATTTGCTGGTAATAGAAATTCAGTATAAGGAAATAAAGTTAGACTCAAACAAGCTCTGTAAACTTTGAATTGTTCTCCTTCTGACGTCTGCTCTCAGAATTATATTTATAATTGTATCCTATTCCTAAAAGTACAATAAACAAATGGAACTGTTTTATTGACTTTGTCTCTATCATTAAATTATGCATTTTGTTTCTAAAAGCCAAAAAATATTTTTTTATTAAGAAAAAACTACTTAACTAGAGATGGTCTATATGTGAATGATTCATAACTCTCCTAAGCCTGGAAATCCTGTGTTTTCTTTTATTGCTAATGTTTATTGTACTAACACTTCTTTTTCCCCTTTGTCTATTATTCAAGCTACTACATTTATTATTCAAGATACTATTTAAATAGCACACATCTCGGGTGTTAATCTTGAATGTTCTATCTTCTCTTTCCCACTGGTAATTGATTTCTTCCTCACATTACTTAGAAATGATGGCCAGCTACACATTCTCCAGCTTGGCCTTCAGATTTATGAATAAGAAGTACTGCCAAATTTCCTTGCTCGGTAATGCTTTTCTTCAGATTCATAGGCACACTTGTTGGAATTCCTGCAAGTGTGGTTAATTGCAGAATCTGTGAAAATTGTTTAACTTTCAGTAAATTGTTTGGAATATAGTTTTCTTCTGGGTTCTATCATTGTTTCGTGTATGTTGCCAACTATAGCTAACTTCACTTCTGATCCATTTTTTTAAAAAGAAATGAAATCAGACAAATTGTTTTGATTTTCTTAAAATTTAATTTTGGAAATTTTTTAGGGTGTTAGTGCACAGCACTTTGACCTTGCCATTAGCAACCCCATGCCTAACCCACAGTGCAACAAGGGGCTCCTTAGTGCACAGCACTTTGAATATTGCAGAGGGCACTTTGTATATTTGAAAAGGACGTTCCCCCTGCCCTATTATTTTTGTGTAATTTCTTCATATTAATTGGAAAAATAGTGATCTCATCCCTATCATTTGATCCATTTTTATATACTCTAAAGCTAGTTGGCAGCATTGCCTTTGGTGTACTCTGTTGGTTTGGGCTTATGTAATGTCTTTTTCTTGTCTCCATTTTTTGTTTTTCTTTTGCTTCCTAAGGACATGATGACACAGCGCCATGTGCACTTTTGAAAAGTATGGATAGTTTTAGCTTTCTACAGCACCCAGTCCACCAGAGGAGCTTAGAGATTCTGCAGAGGTGCAAGGAAGAGAAGTACAGTAAGGCTGAAAGTCCTGCTCAATTCTGTGTCATCACATGCCTATCGGGAAGTGGAAACCAGGGCATTCTATACCAGGGTGGGCCATCGATTGCACGGGCAACGTGACCTCTCTAATCCTTGTGACCTGTCTCAGGATATTTCCATTGAGACTTCTTTCTCTTGAAAATGCTTATAGGCCTCTTCCTTTTGCCTGGTTAACTATTCTATTTGTCTATAATCCTTGGCTTATTAAATTATTCTTGCTTATATTTCCTGAATTGGTTATTTTTTGGTAAAAATAAATAATGCTTTTCATCCAGCCAATATTTTTAAAATGTTAATTTGATCTAATTGAAGTAAAATAAAACTGGAGTGTAGCGTATGCTCTTTGATAACGTTTTGGCAAATATGTACACCCATGAAACCCTCACCACGATTGCACTAACTACTAAACATGGTCAGCATTCCTCATGCTCCTCTCTAAGCATAGTGGAGTTTTATGCTTGTATTGCAGCATCAGCAATGTTACTTGGTGTCTTTGATAAATCATAGTTTGATTGTAGCTCTCCCTTTAGAATTTCCTTTGTCCGCTTTAAAGTCACCATTATGTTTTAGTTAAGGTGAAATGGCAGAAAGTGGATGAGCCTGTATTTTAAATTAAATTGGTGTAAAAAGATGATCCTGGTTTCCATTTCCTCCTCCTCATTTATTACATTAATTCTGCATGAAAACTGGTTCTTTTGCTTACTGGGAGATGACAGGTGGTGGGCTTCTACTATAGTGGGAGTAAAGGGACCCTGCAGGGACTTCAGAGTCCATATCAATGGAATTGATTGAATCTAATGGACTTAATTGCAATGGTTTGTTTTTGTTCTTCAGAGTACTCAAAGCCTAATTTAGTAGGTAGCATAGAATGGGCCTAACTTACTTTCATAATGTGTTTGGACTGTTGTAAATTGCCCCAGATTTAGTTTGCTACTTTTGTAATTCTCTTTGAAAGTCTATGAGATTTTAATACTTGGTTGTCAATAAAAAGAGATGATAAGAATTCTTAGGAGCAAATGAGGTTTCTTATAATCATGTTACATAAAAAGCAATGTTTGGAAAAAAAAAAAGCAATGTTTGGTATAAAAAATGTTTAAAATATCTTGAAAAATACTATAAAAATATATATTTTGTTCATTTTAGGATGGTAAGTATTTCATTTTTTAATTTTGAAAAGTATATTCTTAATTATTGCTATTACTTCAAAAATGTATACAAATCATTATTTCAACTATTATTCTTACTTTTAAAACCTTTTGATCATTGGAGCATTATTTAAAGTGGTCTATAAATTTTTTATAATCAGACCTTAAATTCTTCCTTTTTTAAAAAAATTCTAAAATAGTTGCAACTGGTGTATTTGCTGTGTTGTGTTTCATGATGACTTTCAACCTGCCCACTCAGTCTGCTTGTATTCCAGCTTACTATATATGGATCTAGAACAGAAGGGTACCACTTTCAGGAAATTAAGCAAAATTTGCATTTATGTATGTTCAGGGATATTTATTAATTGCTACATTTGTGAAACATGAGCTTTTCCATTATTTTGTATATTTTGTTACATTTTCATTTTTAGTACTAGCAAAAATTCAAATTTTAAAATATTTGAAATTATAACTTTAACTGTGAGAGATTGTTTTTAGAACAGCTGGGGGCAACCAGTGAAGTGATTTGGTGAAGCAAATAAACCCACTGCAGGTAACAATGTTAAAACTGAAAAAAGCCAACTATTTGAAAACACTGGAAAAAAAGACTAAGAGCAGGCAGAAACCAAGGAGAATTTATTCTTGAAAGTTAGATGCTCACCTCCCCAATACGATGGCTGAAGACAAATGGGAGTATAAGCAAATGTGGTGAAGAAAGCTGATGGTACCCGGCTATCAAAAGATATAGCATCTGGGGTCTTAAAGGCTTGAAGGTAAACAAGTGGCCATCTAGCTCAGAAGCAACAAAGTCCACATGGAAGAAGCACACCAGCCTGTGTGATCACGAGGTGTCGAAGGGATCAGGTTACCAGACATCATCAGAACAAAAAATCATATCATTGTGAATGAGGGGGAGTGCGAGTGGAGACCCAAAGCCCATCTGTAGGCAATTGGACATCCACTTACGGAAAGGTATTGGGGAGGAGACGAACCAGTCAGGGTGCAGTGTAGCAAGATGAAACATACAACTTTCCTCTAGTTCCTAAATACTTCCTCCCCTCCCACTTTCATGGTCCCAATTCTACCTTACAAATCTGGCTAGACCAGAGGATGTACACTGGTACAGATAGGAACTGGAAACACAGGGAATCCAGGACAGATGATCCCTTCAGGACCAGTGGTGGAGCAGGGTGGGTTGGAAAGGGGGAACCAATTACAAGGATCTACATATAACCTCCTCCCTCGGGGATGGACAACAGAAAAGTGGGTGAAGGGAGACGTCAGACTGTATAAGATATGACAAAATAATTTATAAATTATCAGGGCTTCAAGAGGGGGAGGTGGAGCAGGGAGGGAGGGAGAAAAATGAGGACCTGATGCCAGGGGCTTAAGTGGAGAGCAACTGTTTTGAGAATGATGAGGGCAATGAATGTACACATGTGCTTTACACAATTGATGTATGTATGGATTGTGATGAGCCCTTAATAAAATGATTTATTTTTTTTAAAAAAAGTAAACTATGTGTTTGTGGCATTTTATGCTCCCTAACTCCAGAGACAGAAAGCCACAACCAGACTTACTTGAAATGTCAAAGGACAAGGTCAAGGATTGGCAGACCAGCTAGAAAATTGGGAGAAAAATCCTGTAAATAAGAGCTATCAAGTGACTAAAATCCCGAAGTCAATATATGTACTCTGCCTACATTCTAAAGATTAAACTTCTAAACTATATTGCTGAAAATTTTCCATATTTGAATAAGAAACAATAGCATTTAGATTTGAGAAAATCACTAAATAATAAGTACAGAAGAAAACTATACTTAGTTTTATTATAATCACAATACTAAGTGCTAAAGACAAAGAGGAAATCTTGGAAAGAGCCAGAAAAAAAAACTTTGCATTAACAAAAACTCCAAATCCAAACTCTGCCAACAATCAAGTCTAACTCACAGCAACCCTACAGGATAAGGTAGAACTGCCCCTGTGGATTTCTGAGACTGTAACACATTTACAGGAGTAGAAAACTTCATCGTTCTCCCATAAAGTGACTGGTGGTTTCAAACTTCTGAGCTTGCAGTTAGCCCTGCCCCAACATGTAACCCACTACACCACCAGAATTCCTGATGTATTATGTATTGGAGAACAATGATGTGATTAACAGCTAACTTCTTATTAAAAACAATAAAGCCCAAAAGATAACAGGAAATCATTTTTAAAGGGCTGCCCCCCAAATAAATCCAACATTGAGCCAAAATTTCTGTGTTTGCAATTTTGGTCCAGATAAGTTTCTTTTAGAAGGAAAAAAAAAACTGGTCAATAAAACACAGCAAAATCCAATTTTGCTACAATGTGTTATCCACAATATCCAGTTTTTAGTTAGCAAAAGTATACTTCAGAAATGAGGGTGGTGGTCATGATTTCAGGCAACATCCCTATGAGTTGGCGTAGTTATGTGCTTAGTACTGTTTTACCTCCTGCATAGTTCCTGGGGTCTCAGAAGCTTGTAAATGGCTATCTAAGAGACCCACAGAAATTGGTAGGCCATATAAAAGCAACTCTCTACACTACATGAGCTGTATTCAGTAGAAGGCAAGGTACGGCGGTGTTTCCCAAAGTGGATGATACCACCCTCTGGGGGTGCTGGAATGATCTAAGGGAGCTGCAAAAGCAGACACCTACACTTTATCCTAGCTTGTGGGCTGTTGTACAAAATATATTAATTGGCTCGGGGCTCTGCGTATTATTTTAATCCTCCTGAAAAGGGTACAGTAGGCCAAGTTAAGTTTGTAAATCTATGATCTGCAGCAACAGAAGAAAAAGGAGAGTCAGTAATACCCATTGCATTGAGTCAGTTCCAACTTAGTGCACCCCCATAGGACAGTAGAACTGCTTTCATAGGGCTGGCAAGGTTCAATAGTTAGGAACGCAGGCTGCCACATCTTTCTCTTGGGTGTGTACCAACTGCTGCCCTTTTGGTTAGCATCTAAGTAGTACTTTAAGCACTGTGCCACCAGGGCTTATTAGAATCATCAGTAGGTGCAGGATATAGAATACTTGGTTAACCGCCTCCATGAACAGCTACCTCTTTCCCACGAGTCCAGAGGAACTGGATGGTGCCTGGCTACCATTATTGAACACTTCTGTCAGAGGTTTTTTGAAGAATGCTGAACAGAAGGGGTGAAATGCAAAGCAGAATGGACTCGAGCCTTTCTTGAGCTGTGAAGGCTGGAGGAACCCCTAAAGCTTTTGATCTGAGGTCATCTTTAAATAGTAAACCAAAAATATCCACTAAAGTCTTCCTAAAACCTAACAGTAGTTTAACTTAACTAGTAAAACATGTCTGCCGTGAACATTGTGTTGTTTGAAGATATATCTGCGTGGGATCAAATTGCAGATAGGAACCTTAGGGGCAGTAAGTCTGTGTTAATGGTGGAAGAATAACTCAGAAAACGTTGAGAATGGCTGGCTAACTTAAAGAATATAATTAGTACTGCTAAATTGTTCATGTAGAAACTATTGAATTGGTGCCCCCCTTTCCAAAATACTTAAAAAGTAAAAACCATTTTTAGCTCAGGCCATAGGAAAGCAGGCAGCAGGTTTGATTTGGCGCTGTGTGTAGTTTGCTGATCACAGTATTACAGGAGGATATTAAGAAAATATAAATTAAAAAAAAGGAAAGAAAGAAAATAGAAATAATAAATATTTAGAAAAATACAAATAACTATACATGTTTTTTCCTCTTAAATGATATCTGACTGTTAATGCAAAAAATATGATAATAATGTCTCTAAAATGAACCAAAAGACATATATAAACCATAGATACATGAA